AATCTAAATAACCATCTTAAAGTCAATCTAATAATTCTAAATGTATAAATCTCAGACTCTCAATCTCTAAATGTATAATTCTGAATGTGAATATCTGTTTTTAATTATTTGTCCATCGTTCATGAGTTGCTATATCGATATCGGTCCATCCATTTCGAAGTCTATTGACTTTTACATACATACATATATAGGTAGATACTTACTATTCGATTTGTTTTTTGTAAATTCTAGCCAAGTATAGTCCGATAATGCAGACACGGTTTTGTTCATATTGTTGAATAGATTGCTTTCAGTTTAAGTATGTACTAATTTAAATAATATATTTATTTACTGGTGGTAGGACCTCTTATGAGTCCGCGCGGGTAGGTACCACCACCCTGCCTTTTTCTGCCGTGAAGCAGTAATGCGTTTCGGTTTGAAGGGTGGGGCAGCCGTTGTAACTATACTGAGACCTTAGAACTTATTTCAAGGTGGGTGGCGCATTTACGTTGTAGATGTCTATGGTCTCCAGTAACCACTTAACATCAGGTGGGCTGTGAGCTCGTCCACCCATCTAAGCAATAAATAAAATACTTATTCTTCAATGGTGTTTTTTGTGTGATCCCGCTAAGGACAACTTTATGAAATGTTTGTCCCTAAGCTATTTATTTTCATTCAGCTTGCAACCTTACATTCCTTTTCTCTTACTTTTTTGGTAAGACATGAGATTTTCACATAAGTACCATTTATTTTCATTTCATTCTAGGTTAACTGATTTATAATGTAATATCAAACGCGATTTAGTCCTTTAAAATATGTATAATAATAATTTTAAACATAAAAAGATATCATGAAGTGAAGAGGCGCGACTTCCAGGATTGTAAAATGCTGACCATTGTTGGCACATGTCAATGTTGGCACTTGTTTCGTGGACGAATTTTATGCTAATTCAGATTTTTGTATTATGAACATTACTTAACGCGAGTTAAATCCTTGCAGTATTAATATTTTACTAATTATCCATGTATTGCCTATTTTACACTTCGGTACAGTTATTTATTTATCGTATTGAATGGGTATTTCGTTCTTAAAGAAACATTTAACTTGATAAAAATATTAAGTTCTCAAGATATCACGCACACGTACCATAATAGATTTATTAGTAGAAAAGTTACCTATTCTTTATGTTAGGAAAGATTACAACATTTTTTTTTTGATCCGTGTTAATGGTAGCCATAGCCTGCAGATCACAAAGATCACAAAAACACACACTACCTTGAGATGTCTGGGACGCCGCCTTGGCTCCTGGAGGCAGAGGCGCTCGCCGCTGACTATTAGTGGCGGGCTGACCTTCGTGCCCGGGGCGTGGCACGTTCCAGCCCCAGTGTGGTCAGAGCGCGGAGGGCCCAATCTCGGCCCAATCCGTGCTGGAGTCGTGGTCCAGACGGCTGGCCGATCCTTCGGCTGGTCGTAGGACCGTCGAGGCGATTCGCCCGGTTCTTGTGAATGGGGTGAATCATGACAGAGGACGCCTCACTTTCCGGCTCACGCAGGTGCTCACTGGGCATGGTTGCTTCTGTGAGTTCCTGCACCGGATCGGAGCTGAGCCGACGGCAGAGTGCCACCATTGTGGTTGCGACTTGGACACGGCGGAGCACACGCTCGTCGCCTGCCCCGCATGGGAGGGGTGGCGCCGTGTCCTCGTCGCAAAAATAGGAAACGACTTGTGGTTTCCGAGTGTTCGGTGCTCGGTGACGACGAGTCGTGGAAGACGATGCTCGACTTCTGCGAGTGCACCATCTCGCAGAAGGAGGGGACGGGGCGCGTGAGAGACGCACAGGCCCACCGCCGTCGAGCGGGGGCCAGGGAGGCGGATATCGGCCAAGCCCTGGCCCTCTAAAGTGTTTCGGGTCTCCCTCACATGTCGGCCTGGGGACCGGCGAAGGGGGCCTAAGAAGACGACGTGCAAGCTGCTCTGCACGCGTTTTATGCATGAGCATCTGGGTGATGGAAAGCCGGCTATCCTCAACCCACGCTGGTTCTGACCCAGCGGGGCATACCGTAGGATAGACCATTCTAACCGTCGGATAACCTGCCGACCGAGAGGGCTGCTGGTCGTGGCACCGACGACCGCCAGTCCGGCGTCCCGAGGGGCAGGGTGATGGGAGAGATGTGCTCCGCACTAAACACTTCACTTTCCCTCCTTTGCCTTTTCATGAGTTCTGTCTCATGCGAGGTTTGGACGTTGGTTGTTGAGCGACAGGAGGTTTTAGTCGATTCGACTCCGACATGCTCCGCCCTCCATCCCCAGTGAAGGGCGGAAGTCCGGCGATTTCCTCCTGACAAAAAAAAAACCCTTGAGATGTGAAGTCAAATGTCACCTCATAGGCTTAACAGCTTTCGAAATTTGAACACATAGATGGTTCGCTGCAGAGTGGTGGTACCTACAATTATTATCCACTACAATTAACTATGAAAACATAATGTGAGCTTTATTTTGACTCAACGATTTGCATTTCACTATCGTGAAATTCATTCGTGAGCACGTGACATGCACGTATTTAATTAGAAAACTAAATACCTGACTGCAGCAATGTCCCGAGCTTCTGTTCCTGTAACGAATCGTTACATTCCGAAATATATTTTTTTAAATTACCAATCATCGACCTTTCTTACAGAGTATGCTTAATGTGCAAAAACGTTCAAGTTATTTGGGATTGTTTACTATTTTAAACAACAATCTTAGGAAAAATAATTGCAGAATATTTATATATCGGGTACTGTCACGGAAGTAATGAATAAATGTCTAATTTCTGGGAATGTACTGTATCGTTGTATATTGGGGGATGGCAAAATGTAAACCATGTTGGATAGTGTTACGTCATCACACACCTTGTTCGACTTCCGTATGCTTAGGGCGAGCTTTTTAACTCCTTCTTCTTAACTTCGTGTAAAACCTAACTTAAATTTGTATGGAGTTGGAACAGTGCCCCTAGCGGCAAACAGACACTTAGACCTCATGCTTAAAGGTGAGTAGCGGCATTCCCGATGCGATGATTATGGGTTCTGGCAACCATTAAATACCAGAAGGGCCGTGAGGTCGTTGCAACAGTCTATGCAATAACAATATTCTATAATGGATGCCGGAATAAATATTCAGTTTCTGGTAGATAAATCCTGGTAATTAAGCTTATCGCATTTTAATTAACATTATTTTTTGCTTTAATAAGCAGATGAGCAAACGAGTCACCCGAGCTAATAATAGCCTACATATTGGATCAATTCTTGGACTTCTTTTTTTCTTGGCTAGATCCCAACCGGAATGCGAGGTACCTATATGGGAATAGACGATCCGCATTGTTGAGAGCAGACCGCGGGACCAATGGTGGTATTTAGGGTCCTACCTACTAAGCGACGCACCTTCGCTCTCGCTCAAACATCCGATCCCCCTGAAGTCAGAAGCTGGGCTGGATAAGGGGCTATCGGGGTCAACACTGCAATCAGACGCGCTCACCACAAGGACGGAGCCTTCGAGGCGTAATGAAGGCTCTGGAACGTCGATCGTCTGGGTGTGGCAGCGCGTCAGGCCGCTGAGGCTGTATCTCTTGTATCCTGGTATATCTGCTGGGTCGGAACTAGCTTGCCGGCTCGGGATGCGATACACAACTGGTCGCTCTTATGATGTCACTCCTGAGCAGCGCGTTAGACTGCTGGTCGAGGGCCGCGCGTTATCCACTCTTTCAAGTCGCCTTGTGACTTTGACCGAAAGGAGGCCGATACTTAAAATTGGATCCAACATTTAGAGTTTTTTACGAAAACTACTTGCAATTGGTGATTTTAAATAATAAACAAAATGATATTTCTTAATTTTTTATTTTGTAAATCACATTTTTCTTTCTACTACACATTTATCAGCGCCAGATTATACACTTCTGGTCGGTTAATTATCTTATTAATGACATTTTAAAATCAGAGTTCTAAAAATCTAACATTCAGTTTACTTATAACTTATACATCCTATATCTGTAAATATTGAATACCCTTTGAAAGAAGACATTTCAAAACTACAGATACAAACTGGAATGTAATACATCAAGATGAGATACGCCAGAGAACATCCCATTAGATTTAAGGTAATCAGTGCGTAATCAAGCCAGAACGAAATACTATTTCCACAATAACGACATACAAGTATGTATATGTATGTGCTCCTGATATACTAAACTGAAAAGTTTCACAAGATATGTCAATTAATAAAACAAAATCATCTTTTGTAATTAGATCTATCAATTTACTTAAATATATAAAATGTGTCAGTATATTGAATGATTCCTTCTTGCTGAATTACGTCCATTTTAATTAATATTAAGGGAAAAAAATCAATAAAAAAATCAATGTTTTCTTTTAGATCAGACTAAAATTATGTACTTATATGTACGAGTAATAGCAACTATTATATTAAATGTTATATAAGTTTATTATGTGAAGCAGGTTATAAGCAATGTTTTTAATATATATTTATTTGGTTTAATAAGCTAAGAAACAAAAATCCCTTTTCCTTACAATAATCCACCAAAATTTTTACTTACAATGCTAGCGTTTTAAGTTACTACAATTAAAACATAATTTTACTAAACAGCTATTGGGGTCTCTAACTTTGTGCAAGAGCAACAAATAGACTTGTAAAAATGTTAAATTTTCTAAGTGAATTTAATTATACATATCAGATCTAAAAAAACCTTGGAAAAAAAATATTTCTAAATAAATGCCAAAACTGAAGCCTAACAATTAGTTTTGGCTATTTATAATTTAGCTATGTAATGACAAACTACATTTAGCCTGTAGGTTTGAAATTCGTTAGTCACATTTATTTTCTACACTAGACAATTATCGCCAGATCATATATTTCTGGTTTTCATTAAAACAGACATAGATATTATTATAAATACCAAAGACCGATAAAACGGCATTAATGGGTAAGTATAGATCTAAACATTCAATTTATAATTTAAGTACTTATGAATTATTAAATACCCTTCCAGGGAGGAGACATTTCAAATATGAGCACACGCTAAAATTGTAATGTAATACAATATAATTTTCATACAAATAAACAGACTTCAGTCAGGGAAAAATATCATTTGTTGATAAAATAGTCTTAATCTATATCTAAAAACTAACAATAAGAGAAAAGTATCAAAAATAACAAAGATTTTAAATGATTAAAACGTATGTATGGCAAACATGTAATTTTTTCATTTGGTCATGGGGTATTTCAAGATCATAGTTTTAATTAATACGCTTTTTGTAACTTGGAGAACACCAATGTGGAATAAGGAAAATAAAACCTTAAGATTTAATAGTAAAAATTCATCGAAAACACCAAAATATAGGATTTTCATTAAGCACCCTACAAAATTCTACAATACAAACTACAGACAAAAGTCGTCGTGCTTCGGCACCAAGAGATGTCGAAACATAGATATCGTGATTATTCTTAATTTTAAAAAGAAGAGTATACGCACCCATTGATGGTACATTGTTTTACAAATACACATTAAACAATTAAATTGTATTAGGTAAAATATTAATTAGATCTACAATATTACGAATAAATACCAAATGTTTATTATTTATTACAATATTTAATATTAAAATAGACAATTCAAATGCTATGATTAATGATTACAAAGACTGAATATATTGAAAAACTTCGCCGCCTGAAGTACAGGTCGAGAAATACGTAATTTAATTTGATGTTAAGTGCATATCACTTTATTACTATTAGACATGACTAGCTTTTAATGAGCAAAACTGAATCAACAATTCAAAGAAATAATATAACCGATCGTAAAATGTGTAAAGTAAAGTAGGAACCAAACTATTTAGGGAATTTTTATTCTTTACTGATATTTCGGTAGCCCGTCTACCTCTATAACTCCTGTGTATTCATAATTCACACGAAAATTTCCAGATAATGTAGTTCAGCTCACCCGAGAGAAATCTTAATTTGTGTTGGAGCTCGCAACGTACTTTTCAGATTTCGATTTTCCTGTCTGCGAAGCGGGAGATGATAGGAACAAGAATGGCTTCAATAAAGCTATTCAAAGTAGCCATAAAATGACTACTTTGAAATGACCATACAGCACAAAACATATGATTCATATAGTTACGTACTAGCATGCTATTTATAGAATCGATTTTTACGCGGTTTTTTCGAATGTGTTTTTTTAAACGCTTTTAGAAACTTGATATGTACGTGGGTATGTAACGGAGTCATCGAAAGTCATTTTCATAGACTTCAAGATTAATATTTTCGACACGTATAAATAAACAGCATAAAATGAATTGTTAGTTTGGTTTGTTATTTATCTAAGCATGGTTCTTAATTTTAAATTACACATTTTTAATTAATATTCTTTACCATATTTTAATGAGCGTTATGTCTTAATTCCTTAGTTTGAAGTGCTGTAGTAAAAAATATTTTGATGAATAATAAAAATTGGTTAGCTTGTTCATGTTCATTGCAAGATGCCTAAGTTGTTGTTTTCTAAAAATTTCAGGAACATAGTCTAAAATTGTGGCCTGCATAACTAACTGGCTATTTGGTAAACACGCCGTATGTACTCATATAAATAGGCAAAGACAAAATAATTTAATACATTTTACTTTTTTGTGTGTCATCATCCATTTTTGTTTTGTTGACAAAATATTGTCGGGTAACATTTTATTACCAAAAAAATTGGGATCCCCTTAATTTTTTTCAAAATATATTTCACTAACAAAACAAAGAGAAAATGAAACACGTAATACTTAATTTAAATATTGTACTAACATCTAAATTACCCTTGAAACTCAATCAGGTAGGTACTGAGATGAAAAACTAGTAAGAAGAAATATGCGTAACATCATTCCAACCAATGATGCATACATCAATTGTAGAAATGATTTTTTATGAGTATTTTACTAGTAAGTATATTTTATTGAACATTGAATCAATGTTAACAACCACGAATAACTGTTAAGACAGTTAAAACTTGTGAGATCGATACTAGTAAAGATCAAGAGTCATATTATTTAACTTCTCGAATTAATCGTTTCAAATTATTACAATAGGTCTCTCTTAGACCACATTCACATAATTTTCTAGGAAACTAATGCATAAACAGTCTAGAATTACACTAAAATAACCTAAAATGTAATAGCAATTTTTACATAAAGTAGATAATAATATCTTGTATCGATCCTGTCTAAGCCTCTGAACTCATTTTGAATGTTCCTAATATGTTAACTAGAGAACTAGTCCCGTCATATTTTAAGTTAATGTTGGCACCACATGTTAATTAAATTTATATTAATTTAAAATAATTTTTATTCAATATATTATTAACATGTATAAATTATTATACAATTAGATTTCATGAAATTAATAAAAGTTATAATCTAGTGCGGCAAAGCTGATGCGATCATAAAACTCGTAAACGAAAGAAAAAAACATAAAAAAAGTCATCCAAATTGAACTAAGACTTAGTAGTAGGTATTTGATAACAGTGAGAAAAAATTGTTTTCATAGTATTAATATTATTATATATTTTATTGAACAGCATTATATATGGTTAATTTCAATTCTTATTAGATTTCAAATGTGTTCTGTCAATAGATTAAAACATGTACCGCGTAATCAGGTATCGAGATATAATTATGTTTTGTACTCGTAGTTCAATTATCGGTTGATTAGAGTAATTTTGACTGGATGACAAGCTTGTATACGGACAAGACACGCATCGTCGTATTTGATGCCAATACTTAATTTAAACAGTCGTTTATCAGACTAGAATCGACGCTTAAATTTAAGTACAAATTTGAATTTAAGTTTTATAAAAACCTTTTTTTTAAACACGACATAAGTCATTGAGTTCCAACAAAAATTTACAAAAATAACAATTTAAGAAATAGTTTTAGCTACATCATATGATTGAGACCTACAGAGACAAATAATACTGCCAAATAACACTGCATACAATTATAATCACAACAAATTAAACGGACGGAGAGAAATCAACATATTTTCACAGTAGTGGAATTAGAAATAAAATTGACTTAAACAAATATAGGACTTAAAATATTTTGTTATCAATAACAAACGTAAAATTTGTGCTCTCACAACGAAATAATAAACTCGAAAAAATACTCAAAGAAATTAAATTACGTTCTTAAATAAAAAAATTAATTGAGTATCAAATTTCAGTTTTAAATATTGGTACACAACGACCCTGTTAAATACATTTATCACGTTCTTGAGTTGGCATAATTTTTAAGATTTTAAAAATAAATATAATTTTGGAAGCAACAGAAACTATGTTTCCACCGTTATTTAATAAAATTTACATAATTTATAAAATTTCAACTGAATGTCACTTTTCCAGTTTAATGAAATAAATAAGTATATGAATTACTGTTTATCTCATAGATATTAATCATAAAGTTCTCAAGCTGTTAAAGTCTAAATTAGAAAAGTAAGCAAAGTGCAGGATAAATAATGAGCGTTCTATAATTAGAATACTTATACATAACATCGAGAGAGTAAAAAGTATTTTACCCCAATTTTATTCCAATGTAATTCAGACTTAAACTTCTTGTCTCAAGATACTATTTTATTCGGGCACAGTTAACAAATGAATAACAGTTGTTCAGAGGTTTTTCTGCCCGCTGGTAAGTACGCTACTGAACTCCACACTTCGCGACTACGTTAATTAAAAATAAAATAAAATGGCAACACCTTGTATGACGTTTGAATACTGGCAACGATATCATTGAACCGGCAATTCGCAGTTATATCGTGGTCGTTTTGCTATAACACGAGCGGTTTGTTTGAACGTGACGACAACTGCTTAAACAGCAGTTGTGTGTTGCACATGTGTTGTAACGGTTGTAGCTTTTGATGCAGTCTTCGTAGCTTCCTCGGCTGCGATATCGGCCTTCACCAGATCCATCTTGGAGTGAATGCGGAAATGTAGCCGCGATTCCAAAGAGTATCCTGAGTACTTCCTTCTATAACATAAAAAAATATATACAAATTATAAATAAATAGTAACATTTTCTCTTTTGTTTGTGGGCTGATTTCTTTATTAATTGCCTTTTATTATTATCATTATTTAATATATTTACAGCCAACGGTTACCAGACTTCATAGCCAAGCTTTAATAAAAATTTGGTAATAGTATTTTCTATTATTATTTATTATTATAAATAATACATATAAATATTGAATATGCCTGTTTACGCAAGCTTAAATTTAATAGCGGTTTCATACAAAATTTTATTTCCCCATCTTTGATTACCGCCATTCTATCACACAAGCCTAATTAATATATAAAATAAATAATACGTAAAATAAATACGACCACAAGTTTACTTTGCTATAAAAACTAATTTGTGTTATAAACTGGAAAGAGCTGTTGTTTCCTCTTATTTCTTTACCAATATTATTTCCCAGCAATAGTAGAAGCAACTCTTCATATATTAAAAATACATTACCTAGCCTCGTTTAAGAGCTGAACAGCTTTATCTTTATCCCCTAGTTGGTAGTGGCACATTGCTACTTCGACCACAGTGTACGGGAACAGAAATGTATCTTCTTTAATTTCACTCTTCAGCCTGTTGAAAATTATTTTAATGTTTTACAAAACAGGTTTTTATGAATTGGTATGAAACATAAAATCCTCATCGAAAACATTGTAATGAAACGCACTAAGGATTTGTATATATCCGTTACTTTAAAAAAAAATATTAATGGTTTTTTTATTCTGGTAGAATCTGACAAACTGACGTAACACAAGTAATATGACAACTATTAAATAAGTAATAATAATAATAGGTTGGGGAAAAAGCTTCTTCGGATTTTTTAAAATTCACAACAATTTTTAATTTAAATAAACTATACATATTTAAATTTAAGTAAAGTATGTAGGTACTATTTTGATCGATAACTTTTTGCCATCTTGTAGGTAGGGGGCATGATCCCATTGCTATAGAAATTTTGGGGCTTCTGATCAAAATACCGCGACAATTGGTTTTGGCAGTCCAAAGAGATTTTATTACAAGTTCATAGATACTATAATGCGAAAAGACTTTTTTCCCAACCTATTATAATGTTTATGACTAAGTTTCTATGACATTTCCTAACTTACTGGAATACAGCGTCGAAACTGTTGAGAGCCAGACGAGGCAGACCCATGGCGGCCAGACAGCATCCGTGCATATAGCGCAGCAAGGCGCGGTTGTCAGCAATATAAATGCCCATCCAATCAAACCGATGATCCTCGACACGCTCGCGGGTCACTTCGATCACCTGTAAAATAATTTTAAAGATGAAATGATTGCATAAGGATATGAAAATTGGGAATTTTTATATGGGAATTTTTGTCAATATATGGGAAGTTATTAGCTTCATTCATTCCTGTTCAATCGATTCAAAGAAGAACTTCTTTCGTTCTTTTTTTATGAATAGGTGACAAGAATATTTTCACGTCACTGACAACTTCCAAGCTGAGCCTATGTCATATACCTCCACAGCAAAATTATATGGGAAGTAACGATAATTCGTATTGTGCCGAAAAATCAGTAACTCAAAGTGAGATACAAGAATAAAAGAACAAAAATTACACAAATAGAATTAAGCAAACACAAACAAATACAATTTTTTTTATTTTTCTGTATATTATTTCATTTGTTATTTCTGTTAAATATTTCTTTGCCGGTTTCACATACTTTTTTCTTTCTGGATTCACGAATATAAATCATTGCCCATATACCGCTAAGGATTGAGAAGGCCTAAGCCAATGTCATAAGCTCTCATATGGGAAGTTTATGACGCGGATCTTATTGTCTACATTTACTATTTTACTTAAATGGATTTCGATGACTTATTTAGTTCTTAATTTACAAAAAATTAAAAGCTTCTATATCAAGACGGTGACGACAGAGGCAACGAAGCCTAAGTCGTAATTTCCCATATGGGAAATCACATGGGAAGTTTATGACGCGGGCCTGATGTCTACATTAATTCTTGCTCAAACAAATGAAAGGACTTCTTTCTTTCTTGATTTGCAAAGTCGAAACACTTCTATTCTGACCACAACGACGACAGAGACAACGAAGCCTAAGTCATAAACTCCCATATGGGAAATCATATGGGAAGTTTATGACGCGGGCCTTGATGTCTACATTAATTCTTGCTCAAACAAATGAAAGGGCTTCTTTCTTTCTTGATTTGCAAAGTCGAAACACTTCTATTCTGACCACAACGACGACAGAGACAACGAAGCCTAAGTCATAAACTCCCATATGGGAAATCATATGGGAAGTTTATGACGCGGGCCTTGATGTATACATTGATTCTTGCTCAAACAAATGGAAGGGCTTCTTTCTTTCTTGATTTGCAAAGTCGAAACACTTCTATTCTGACCACGATGACGACAGAGACAACGAAGCCTAAGTCATAAACTCCCATATGGGAAATCATATGGGAAGTTTATGACGCGGGCCTTGATGTCTATATTCATTCTTCATTTATCGCTTCCGAGGACTTTTTCCATCCTGGAGCGACTTCTTTAGTTCTTGATTTGCAAAGGTGAAAAACTTTTAATATCTTGATACTGACGACAGAGACAACGAAGCCTCAGTCATAAACTCCCATATGGGAAATCATATGGGAAGTTTATGACGCGGGCCTTGATGTCTGCATTTATTCTTCTACTTAAACAGATTCCGATGACTTGGTTCGTTCTTAATAATTCTTCTAAAAATTAAAAGCTTTGTATTATGACGATGCTGAAGACAAAGGCAACGAAACCTTAGTCATAAACTCCCATATGGGAAATCATATGGGAAGTTTATGACGCGGGTCTTATTGTTGACATTCCTTCTTGCTAAATCGATTCCAAGGCCTTATTTCGTTGTTAAATTACAAAAAATTAAGAGCGTCTATTATCACGATGTTGACGACAGAGACAGCGATGCCTAAGACATAAAATCCCATGTGGGAAATCATATGGGAAGCTTATGACGCGGGCCTTACTGTCTACGATCTTTCTTGCTCAAACAAATGAAAGAGCTTCTTTCTTTCTTGATTTGCAAAGTCGAAACACTTCTATTCTGACCATCATGAGGACAGAGACAACGAAGCCTAAGTTCATAAACTCCCATATGGGAAATCATATGGGAAGTTTATGACGCGGGCCATGATGTCTACACTAATTTTTGCTCAAACAAATGAAAAGGTTTTTTTTCTTTCTTGATTTGCTTCTTGAAAGTCGAACCACGTCTACTCTGACCATGATGACGACAGAGACAACGAAGCCTAAGTCATAAACTCCCATATGGGAAATCATATGGGAAGTTTATGACGCGGGCTTTGATGTCTACATTAATTCTTGCTCAAGCAAATCAAAGGGCTTCTTTCTTTCGTGATTTGCAAAGTCGAAATACTGCTGCTCTGACCATGATGACGACAGAAACAACGAAGCCTAAGACATAAAATCCCATGTGGGAAATCATATGGGAAGCTTATGACGCGGGCCTTACTGTCTACGATCTTTCTTGCTCAAACAAATGAAAGAGCTTCTTTCTTTCTTGATTTGCAAAGTCGAAACACTTCTATTCTGACCATCATGAGGACAGAGACAACGAAGCCTAAGTTCATAAACTCCCATATGGGAAATCATATGGGAAGTTTATGACGCGGGCCTCTAAGTCTGCATTAATTCTTGTACTTAAATAGATTCCGATGACTTTTTTTCCGTTTTGGAGCGACTTCTTTAGTTCTTGATTTGCAAAGATGAAATACTTTTAATATCCTGATACTGACGACAGAGACAACGAAGCCTAAGTCATAAACTCCCATATGGGAAATCATATGGGAAGTTTATGACGCGAGCCTTGATGTCCACATTAATACTTGCTTAAACAAATCAAAGGGCTTCTTTCTTTCTTGATTTGCAAAGTCGAAATACTGCTGCTTTGACCATGATGACGACAGAAACAACGAAGCCTAAGTCATAAACTCCCATATGGGAAATCGTATGGGAAGTTTATGACGCGGGCCTTGAAGTCTGCATTAATTCTTCTACTTAAATAGATTCCAATGACTTTTTCCGTTCTGGAGCAACTTCTTTAGTTCTTGATTTGCAAAGATGAAAAACTTTTAATATCCTGATACTGACGACGGAGACAACGAAGCCTAAGTCATAAACTCCCATATGGGAAATCATATGGGAAGTTTATGACGCGAGCCGTGATGTCTACATTAATTCTTGCTCAAAGAAATGAAAAGGCTTCTTTCTTTCGTGATTTGCAAAGTCAAAATACTGCTGCTCTGACCATGATGACGACAGAAACAACGAAGCCTAAGTCATAAACTCCCATATGGGAAATCATATGGGAAGTTTATGACGCGGGCCTTGATGTCTGCATTTATTCTTCTACTTAAATAGATTCCGATGACTTATTTCGTTCTTAATAATTCTCCTAAAAATTAAAAGCTTTGTATTATCACAATGCTGAAGATAGAGGCAACTAAACCTTAGTATAAACTCCCATATGGGAAATCATATGGGAAGTTTATGACGCGGACCTTGATGTCTACATTAATTTTTGCTCAAACAAATGAAAGGGCTTCTTTCTGATTTGCAAAGTCGAAACACTTCTACTCTGACCATGATGACAACAGAAACAACGAAGCCTAAGTCATAAACTCCCATATGGGAAATCATATGGGAAGTTTATGACGCGGGCCTTAGTGTCTACGATCTTTCTTGCTCAAGCAAATCAAAGGGTCTCTTTCTTTCTTGATTTGCAAAGTCGAAACACTTCTATTCTGACCATGATGAGGACAAAGACAACGAAGCCCAAGTCATAAACTCCCATATGGGAAATCATATGGGAAGTTTATGACGCAGGCCTTGATGTCTACATTCATTCTTTGTTTATCGATTACGAAGACCTAGTGTTCTTGATTAGCAAAAATAAAACATGTCTCATCTCACGATACTGACGACAGAGACAACGAATGCTAAGTCATAAACTGCCACATGGAAAGTTTAAGATGCGGGGCTTATTTTCTATATTCATTATTATTTTATCAGTACATAGGAATTATGCTGTTCTTGATTTACGAATGTCAAACACTTCTCTGACGATGTTGAAGACAGAGGCAACTAAGCCTAAGTCATAAACTTCGATTAGAAAATAATTTGGGAAGTTCATGAGGCGGGCCTAGATGTCTCATTCATTCTTGTCATATCAATTCAAAGGACTTATTCCGTACTTGATTTACGAGTATGAAACACTTATCTCATGATGCTGACGACAGAAGCAACAGAAGCATCATATAGGAAGTTTATGATGCCTAATTGTCTAAATTCAATCTAAAGTTTGAAAATCTTTACAATTCACTTAAATTTCAACAAATACTTTTGTAAATAAATATGTTGTAAAATCATATATCTCAAAGGAGAAATTAAAAAAAAGAAACGAAATAACATTTGAAAGTACATGATTTAATCAGTCATTTTTGTTAATTCTTTCATAGCCGATCCCATAAACTTCTTTTGTTCTTGATTTACGAGTGCGAAATACTTCTCTGACGATGCTGAAGAAACAGACAACTAAGCCTAAGTCATAAACTGCCATATTGGAAGTTTATAACGTGGGCCTAGATGTCTACATTTATTCTCCTTAAGCCCTCTTCTTTTGTTCTTGATTTACAAAGACGAAACAAGTCTACACTCACGATACTGACGACAGATGCTAGTAAGCCTAAGCCATCAATTTCCATTTGGTGAATTCTATAAATTTAATCTTCTTTGAATTTATTCTAATCTGTTTTCTGCTATGAAAATCTTAATACCATCAGATCTAAGCTTATGGTATGTTATAAATACATTGTAAATATGTACATAAGGTAAATGTAAGGTACATGTATATTCGAATTTTACTAAATCCATCTACAAATAATGATATATAGATAAATAAATGATATACCACATTATTTTAATGTAAAGTTTTCGATTCTTACCTTCGTGACATATGACTATGTAAATATACTAATTACAACTAAATACTTACTTTGAGTACGTATTGTGCTCCTCTTGAATTGTAGGTGAGTATGCCGAACATGTTCCATAGGCAGAGTAGTTCAATAGCCGGCAGCACTAGGCGCCCTCCCTGTGTGTAGTATCGAGCAGCGCGCTTAATCATGAATTTTTCCATAGGCAATGATTTTCCGGCTATGCGTTGTTTGTAAAAGGAACAATTCCTGTAATAATGTTTCATAGTTATCATCACTTTAAAGCGATCCTCAGAGCCCATCATCATCAACTATGCAATGCAATGTTAGACTTTAAATGTCTATTCATCATCAACTATGCAATGCAATGTTAGACCAATCTAAGACTAAGATTTTTTTAAAGGTCTATGATGTTTCTTTGATTTAGTTAGAAGCTGTTATATCACATTGTAGCTTTAATGTTACCAATAAAAAAATTCAACAAAAGAGAAATTATGTTATAAATAACATGAATCAAAGTGTTGAGGTGTCAATGATTATAGTCGAATTCCGGTAAATTTACAAAATAAATTTAAAAGAGATTAAATATTGTTTTTTTTATTGCTTAGATGGGTGGACGAGCTCATAGCCCACCTGGTGTTAAGTGGTTACTGGAGCCCATAGACATCCACAACGCAAATGCGCCACCCACCTTGAGATATAAGTTCTAAGGTCTCAAGTATAGTTACAACGGCTGCCCCACCCTTCAAACCGAAACGCATTACTGCTTCACGGCAGAAATAGGCAGGGTGGTGGTACCCACCCACGCGGACTCACAAGAGGTCCTACCACCAGTAATTACGCAAATTTATAATTTTGCGGGTTTCATTTTTATTACACGATGTTATTCCTTCACCGTGAAGTCAATCGTGAACATTTGTTGAGTACGTATTTCATTAGAAAAATTTATACCCGCCTGCGGGATTCGAACACCGGTGCATCGCTTCAACACGAATGCACCGGACGTCTTATCCGTTAGGCCACGACGACTTCTTGTTTGTCTTTGTTAATATTTGTCTAAAGTGTAGTCTTAGTGAAATCTGTGAAGAAATAGAATTCTTTGAAGTAGAAGTCTTAAACAATAGAATCATAATAGTGTATATACAAATTTATAATTTCAATTAATTATAGTCGAATTTCGACTACCGGGAGATCACTAGTCAATATAAAAACGTCCCTTTATTACCTTAACAATTCATTGCACTGGTGTTTCTCGTTTGGGGTCATATCGCTTCCGAGTTGCAGCAGCATCGCCGCCTTGGTGTACGAGTAAATGGTACGGGACCATGAGCTCTCATCCATTAGTTTAGTAGCGTATTGTGCTGCTTCACGCCACTCCATTTTCAAGCTAAAAACGTAATTTGATTCGAATAGAATAACAATAATTTTATTAGTATTTAGCATTAGTTGAAATTACAAATAGACATATAATGTAACAATTTAATTACCTATTGACCCACATGATCTCCCAGAAGCATAGATGGCGGAACTGCTTGAAATTATGCTGGCTATTCAAAGCACAGTTGTAGGTGCTTATCGCCGGTTCAAAGAGGCCGCGAAGGAATTCCAGTCTCCCTTTGAACACTAAGAACCAAACGCTCTCGGGGTATATCTGTAAAAGTAAAAATTTTTTGAAACAATGCAACACAAGCTAAAATTATTACTGTACAAAATTGGCAGATTCACCTTATTAAAAAATATTTAAATGAAATACATATTAAGCTTTAGGTTAGTATTGTTATTATATCGCACATAAGGTGCGATAACGTCACTTATGCAAATTATGTATTTTTTCAGGAGAAAAATATAATTCGTATATAGTTCTGCTAGGCTATAGAAATAAAATGATAATAATTAAACTACAACTTAAAACTTCATCAGTAAAAGCAAACATCTCTCTCGTCTCACTAATAACTATTAAAAAATCGGTTGTCTATAAAGTCGGTTTACTGACGATAGTTGAACGTGACAACGTCATACGAAAATACTGATGGAATGGTTTAATTTTTCAATTATCGCAATTATCGTTGCTATAAACAATTGACACCACATTCACTTTTCACTGAACTTCATACTTGACGAAAACATGTAAATGTATTATTGTACAGCAGCTGTCCACGCGGATGCATCGCTCACATCGCCTCAGAGCGAGGTAACGCCGCATGAGTCATGTTTTTTCGTTCGTGCAGCCGGCTCCATCGAATTATAAGACGTTGTCACGTCAAAATGTTTTTCCTCATACTCAGTATTACAAAAATTGCATAAGTGACTTTATAGCACCGTGTCTGCGATATATTGGAGCATAGTTCGCGTAGATTTTTAGTATTGTTAGTAAGGTAAGCGTGACAACCACTACCTTGAGTATTTTCTCGAGTATTTCTTCGCAGACTTTCAGATCTCCAGAGGCTCCGACGAAATGGCATATGACGAGATGGTACCCGAGCAATGTCAGATCGCACAATACAGACCTCATGCCCGGCGATCGAGACGCTGCTTGAAGTTCAGACAGACCCAGCGCCTTAACAAAAAAAAACCTCCATGTGTAATAAAGCAGAAAACCGAAGCAAATGGAAGCTGATGGCACAAAGAGCCACGAAGGGCTTTCAGGGATACGACCTTCAGCAATGAAGTATTCGACTAAGAAGAAGAAGTAATAAACATACTAAAATATTTAAGTCCTTGTTTAAATAATTAAAATGTATCTATATATATATATATAGATTTTAATGAAGGTCAATAATCTAATACATATGTACATACATATACAATGCAGATAAACTTAGAGAAAGACAAAGAAAAAGTTTGTTTTGTCATGTTGTAATTATAGCGGATAATGACGAAAAATATTAGCTAGTAGTTTTGGAATATATACTGTCGAATTTCACTTGTTTTTTATTAATAATTGTGTTAATTTCATAAAACTTGTTCCAACTTTTGTATTTGAATTTATATTTAAGTTTTCTTTAAATTTTTACTGCGACTGCCTGCCTGGCGTGTTAATGTGTATTTATTTACGAAACTATATGCCACAACTAAAAGCCAGTAAAGATGCTCGGTCGGAGACTTTAACCTTTAAACCATACGCGTATCAAAATGTGACGTACCGAAATGTCAAGAGGTCAGCTGACCAGACTGTACAGGACTATTCTGTTCAGGCTGTTCATATTTATCTACCTTTTAAACCTTCTCTGGACTTCCACAAATAATTCAAGACCAAAATTAGCAAAATCGGTCCAGCCGTTCTCGAGTTTTAGCGAGACTAACGAACAGCAATTCGTTTATATATATATATAGATAAATAGATTTATCAGACTTTCTTTTCTTTTCATCCTTTTTATATTTAGTACTTCCTTAACATATACGAAATGTGGTTCCAATTCGATTAAAATTCTCAAGTTCAAAGAAATAACGACACAAAGAATACTGCTATTTCTTTATCAGCCAAGTATGATTGATAGCACTGTTTAGATAAGAATAAATTACTTGCGTAATTACTGCTATAACCTACATATACAATCAAGTTATTTATTTTGTATCATTCTCGGTATTTGAACCCATTAATAAAATTACCTTGTTTCCTGAGAAGCCCACAAATTCCAGCAGACTTATGATTTTTGGAGGCAGCAGCGAAATCATGACATTGAACGTAGCCATACCGAGGCGAACTCCGCTTTGGAAGTGCCTTTTCGACTCATCAGTGTCCCATTGTTTCTTTTCTAAGATCTTAGAGCATTCCCTGTTTATGCATAAAACACATTCTTCACAATTCTACTCATTTATATCAATTCTTTTATCTTTTCAATATATTATTATGATCGTAATTATGATTGCATGCAGCAGAGATGCGAATGTTGCGATGGATGTGTGGAATAACGAGAATGGTTAGAATACGGAATGAATATGTTAGAAAAAGTCTGAAAGTGGCACCTAGAGGCTGAGAAGTGCGTGTTTGGGATGGTATAGACATGTGATGAAACGAAATGAAAATGAGCTTGGTAAGAGTGTTAACTATGAATGTGGAAGGATATAGAGGAAGAGGTAGACCTAAGAAGAAATAGATGGATTGCGTGAAAGACGATATGTGTAAGAGGGGAGTGAGCGAAGAAATGGTATATGATAGAGGAGTATGGAAAGAGAAAACATGTTGCGCCAACCCCAGGTGACTGGGAGAAGGGCAGGAGAATGATGATGATGATTATGATCATAATATCTATTATTTTTGTTCGTTACATAAAACAAGATTAGGGGTTCATATGTCTGTTTTCTGTATAAAAGTGGCAATATAGCCGTTCATTCTATTATTACATGCACATCATAAATGGAAGTAAATAATTCTTCGATGTTATTTAGTGAAACTTACTCAGTTCAAATGCTTGAAGTCGTTCCGATTGTAATATAAATATGTGCACAAAAAACTTGTGTCAGTCACGTTTATGACAGGTATTTTTTTGTGCACACAGTTATTTCAACACGAATTAGTCAAAATTGGACAAAAAGTTATACTCGTACGTATAAATGAATTAAAAACTCGAAATATATCATTTTTGTTTTATTTGTGATGGGAAACGAAAAACTATTTTAATAACTACATCTTTGTTTCATTTAGATTTGTTTTATATTCACGTTAACATCAATTAAAAACAGGTATTGTGTCCTACAAAATTTGAGATCTAAGATTGTAGATGTGGATAAAACACTTTTCAGGTGCACGATACTTATAAATACATAGTATTTAGTTTGAACTTTAACTATGGTATGTAAGTTTATCTATCCAACTACGTATGATATTATGCAGTTTTTTTTTCATTTACGAATACCATTATCAAAGTGCATGATTCTTTTATAATTTATTAATCGGGTAGCTATTTTATTGTAATGAAATACAAAGGAAATAAATATAGAAAAATCCGTGAATTGTCTTTATCAAAACAAAAATTAATGATATATTGCAAATCCATATTTAAAAATTTTACTACTACTACGACAAACTATTATATTCTGGTTTAAATATTGCTAACCACAAACACTAGTTTACCTTCATTACGAAAATAGATCTTACTTGTAGGTGTTATAACAGCTCTTCACTTTAATAGTGCCTTTAATGAGGCCAGTTAAATCTTCGCCTTCCATGATTGTCATGGCGGCTTGGAGGAGTAGAGCTTCAGCGTAGCACAGTTCCGCATGAGCCTCCAAATCCGTGTACAACGCGTAATTGGGCTGTGAATTTCTTTGTATCATTTTGACTGCTCGCTGTTATATTTCTATTTCTTAACTTGTTATTGAGCAAAGTCAGTACAATTAATCTTAATTGCTTATAAATGACGATTGAAATTAATAATTGCTAGAGATTTGACCTTTAAACGTGATCTTTTTGTCGCTAGAATTAGCGAAGATTTGTTTAGCTAAACGCTTATATTATTACTTAATAACAGGATAACATTTCAAAAATATGTATTTAATATTAATGGAAATAAAATATTTTAAGATGAAATTTAATTTATTAAATGTCAATTATGTTACAAAGTGTGTTTATTTTAAAAAGATCAACATTAAGATTTCATTTCAAAAGCGGACTTCTGAAGACCGACCTTTGATTTGTCTCAAAAAATATGTAATTGATTTGTTTTTGTAACACTTGAATATTTAATTAAGCGATACATAGCTGCAAGAATAATACATTTATAAGAATTTAAGCATTTCTGATTTAAATTAACTTAATTATTTAAATAAGCTTTGGTGTCGTTGTCAAATCTGTTTATATGAGTCGATTTTTAATACCCACCTTTTTTATAATGGTACCGAGACTCTCCACTAAGGAGAAACTCTTGCGATTTTTGTTACAAATTGTAATGCACTGCTTCAGTGCAACAATTGACCGACCGATTTGTTCGTGGTCAAAAGTCAACATCGCCGGTATGAACTCAAAAATGGACGCACCCAGACTATGGTACAAAGAAGTACGTGCCCTAAAAATAAGTAATCAAAGCTTCAAACATTTTTGCAGCGTTTAAATTTATAGTTTAAGGGTTGTTGTTGTATCATTGTTTCGAGCCTGCACTGATTGATATCACCGTTCAATCATTTCTGTTCAGTTAAGGGTTGAAGTGTGTGAAAAGTACTTTCTGCGGTACAATTGAGAATTGGGTCTCATTCTTAGGGTGAACGACAGTTATGTTATGATTTTTGGGCCACGGTAACTGCTTAACACATGTGAACCAACAGCTCGGCTAATTTTAGATTTCGAGGAAATATGTGAAAATTTTCCAAAGTAAACACATTTAAGGGTTCATTAAATGTGTTTATTTTAGAAGTTTTCAATTCAATTGTTATATAAAATCAATATGTTTCTTTGGACAGATATTACAATAATAAATGTTATAGGTTATAAAAAGTGGATTACCATGGTCTCATTATGTTCATAGCCCCAACTAAGTCATTATTGAAAAATTTATGTATGGCCACTTCGCAATCCTCGAAGGAGATATGTAAATCCATGTCGTATCTAAAATTTTCAAACAGATTTATATGATGTTATCAAATATCTTAGTATAAAAAGAGTAGATAAAAAAATACGAGCTTTTTATTTATTATCATCTCTACATATTTCGTTTGCTCTGGTAGTTGCACTTTCCCTTTAAACAACTGTCGCCTATGTCATTAACAACATCAGTGTGTTACCGTTAACATTCTTAATCTAAACATTACTAGTGGTAGGACCTCTTGTGAGTCCGCGCGAGTAGGTACCACCACTCTGCCTATTTCTGCCGTGAAGCAGTAATGCGTTTCGGTTTGAAGGGTTGGGCAGCCGTTGTAACTATACTGGAGACCTTAGAACTTATATCTGAAGGAGGGTGGCGCATTCACGTTGTGGATGTCTATGGGCTCCAGTAACCACTTAACACCAGGTGGGCTGTGAGCTCGCCTACACATCTAAGCAATAAAAAAAAACATGATAGGTAGGCAAGCGTCCCCTCCTGGCTGAACCTTTGGTCGCCTACCTGTCCTGGTGAAACTGAAAAGGCCTCCGGGCCACCAGTAGGTAATCCTTCAATCAAAAAAGGCAAGCGAATTTGGTAAATGATTAAATTCTCCATAAAGGCCTTTCTCCTACATGTCCGCATTAACTTCAGTTATATTCGAAGCAGTCTTCATGTCCTACAGGGCCTACAGTCGCAAGATTGAACGAAGTCTGTGTTCTAGCTATATTAATATATGTATACCTGTGCGATTCCGTTGAATTCCAGTTATTCGAGCCTTAAGTAGTAGTCATAATTATAGATAATAATTATGGAAATGTAATTGTTTTAAATATGTCATATTATGTAATAAATGTAACTTAAAAGATTAATATTGAATATTAATTTTAGTGGATTGATTTAATTTCTAATGCAAAAGAAAAGACAAGTTCGGTCTAATGAGTCGATTGAATATTTTCAATTCTTTGAGTATAAAAAAACTTATAAAAATCTCAGAACCTTAAACAAACATCTCAAATAATGATCAAGAGGTAAAAGTTAACATTTAAAAGGCACATTCGAAAGAGAGAGTTTTTACTTATGAATTACCGTGTTGTTGACACGAATATTGTAATGTTTAAATAACCTTTGATTTCAAAGAACACTTCAAATGTTAGAGAGTGTATTTTAAGATTTCAAACGTATGAATCAAAATTGTTAGTATCTTGGTTAAGTAATTTTTTTTTATGGCTTAGGTTTAATGGACGAGCTCACAGCCCACCTGGTGTTAAGTGGTTACCGGAGCCCATAGACATCTACAGCGTAAATGCCGCCACCTACCTTGAAATATGAGTTCTAAGGTCTCAGTTTGTACAGTACAACGGCTGTCACACCCTTCAAACCGAAACGTATTACTACTACACGGCAGAAATAGGCAGGCTGGTGGTATCTACCCGTGCGCACTCATAAGACGTCCTACCACTAGTAAATACATAAATTATAATTTTGCGGGTTTAGTTTTTATTACACGATGTTATTCCTTCACTGTGGAAGTTAATCGTGAATACTTATTAAGTACGCATCTCATTAAAAAAATTGGTAATTGCCGGTGCATCGTTAGATACGAATGCACCGAACGTCTTATCCTTTAGGCCACGACGTCTTCATTAATATGTGATTAACGTACATATTAAGATGTGATTAACGCATGTATTTGCAGCCTATACCTATACACTAATGACATCAATTTGATACTTACGTTGGATGATATTCCGTAGCATCTTGAAACTCTTCCTATAATCATAGATCAAATTAATTATTGCGGAAATGACAAATGTGCGTCATTCAGGCAACCGTGACAATAATAAGTCTTTACCTATGAAGTTGCTGTTTTACAATACTGGCCATTTGAAACGACATAATATGTTTGTTGGTTACTGTTTGTTTTCACTGCATTTGTATCTTTTTCATTCTAGACAGAATAAAAAATGACTATTTATGGAAAATACGATCAGTGGCGGTAGCAATGCCCCTTAAACGGCTCACAACATTAATGACATGTGAACATGATAGTGACAGAGTGAACACAACAAACGAATGCATGGCTCGTTATTGGTTTGAATGCTTCCGACAAAATGAGCCCGTGGTCGCCCGAAAACTAAAGACAACAATGACGAATTAAAGGCGACAGTGGAAGCTGATGCTGAAGCTGATACTCAATCTACCGCTGAACTAGCAGCAGCTTTGAACGTTAGCATCAAAACAATATTAGTCCATTTGAGTCAAAATGGCACCGTAAAAAAATTTTAATTGGGTGCCGCACGAACTGAACGATCGCCAGCGCGATATAGGCGTAAAGATATGCTTTACGTTGCTTAACAAACACAGAAACGTATTAATTTTGAACCACATTGTCATTTGCGCTGACAAATAGATTATTTTTGATAATCGAAAGCTGTCATCCAATTTAGTAAGCTCTGGTTCAGAACCTAGGCAATTTCCCAAACGAAAACTTACCTTTAAATAGGCATGGTCATTGAAGGTCTAATACCGGTTAAATTCATCACAGCTCTACAAAATGGCAACAGTATTAATGCAATCGTGTGCTGTGAGGATCTGGACATAATGATGGAGAAGCTCGCGAATATCCAGCCAGCCTTGATTAATCGTTCGTCCTCACTACACGACAACGCTCGACTTCATACGGCACACTAGACGGTTTCTATAGTACAAAAACCAAGATTGGATTTTTTGTGTCATCCATCATACTCAAAAGACCTTATACCATCAGACTTCCACTTTTTTACAAAGTTTGGATAGCTTCTTGGCAGGCAAGAATTCTATACCCAACAACGAGGCGTCAGAAAATACCTTTGAAAATTTTGTTGGCTCTTTGTTCACGAAGTGCATTGATCTGAGTTGGCAGAGATGCAACGATACCATGTGTGCATATTTTGATTGATATAAATAAAAAATATTTATCAAAAATTACTTTAACTTTCTGTATATTAAACAGCGATTTCGTAGGTAAAGACTAATATTACGATCGTGATAAGACTCATTTCATTGGAATTGATTCTTGTACTTCTTACTACAAATATAGAGATTGATTGATAACGTATTATAAAAATCTTTATTAAGTTTAAATAATTTTATTGTCTTACTGCTTCCTCAGGAGAATCACCAGAACTCCTGCGATCACTGCTTCCGGCGCAAGAACCGCGAGGACCGGCCGTAGTCAGTATTGGCACCGTTTTTTGTCTCAAAGCCATTTTATCTATTCCAATTTAAAAGGAAATTAAAGAAATACTAAATTTAACAAGATATTAGATGTGTCAATATGTCTAACAGCTAAATACTTAAACAAAGCAATTTATCATGCAGTATGTAGCCTGAGTCTTATCGCTCAGACCAAAGGCGGTCTAAAGGCAAAATAGTATTTAGAATTTCTGTAGTATTAGGTATTTTTGAGATATAGTAGCGCACCAGTTAAAACAAATATTGTTCTCAATAAATTAATGAGAAATTAAAACCAATCTTGATTTGATGAGTTGTTTAACTTCATTTTATGTAAAACGTGATGCTCAGTTAAGAATAAGCTTGGGATGTTCAATCAATGCATATACTAAGTACAATACTGAGCGCTATTGGAAAGTTTGAAATGGAAGTTACCAATGGAACAAATGTTTATTGACGATAATTTTATTCAAATGGCTATCAAAGGTTTTTTTGTACCTACTGAACCAGCAAAGTTTGCGAACTATAATCGCATGTCCTATATGAGTACATGTGTTTGGAAATATAATTATATTAACTAACTCTTTGCTCAAGCTGGGTGATCCTTCGGATAAATTGGCTTCTTCGAGCTGAAGTTGGGAGACCTAGTAAACAAAATAATACATGTAATCACATATTATACTTTTTTAGAGAAATTATTTTAAAAATAACTGAGAATTAATGAAATAATGGTTTTATAAGTTTCAAATTAAATATATACAAATTAGAAACTTCTTATGTCTAAAAAACACATTCATCACAGTGTGTTTTACAATTGCTATTTATAGACAATAACATTGTCTGAAATAAGAATAGCAACCCCAAAAATCTAGCGTTTTTTTTAAAGCATATGTTGGCAGTAGATTTTGACTTTTCTAAAATCATTTGTCCGAACGGTTTTATTAATAAACATGGTGTATCCTAGATATGGACGGTGTATTATACTATAGGCGTACGAATAAAAATAGCAATAGTGAGCTCACGGGCTCAACCTGAGAGAATTTACTAACACCATCCCTAGCAATGTTTTGCAGAATCTACCACCAGATCGATCACGACCGTCTGAGAAGATCCGGCGAAAAACTCAGTGAGCTGTACGAGGGCTGCACTAAAAGTATCGGGAATGGAATATTTCCACTGTTCCTGTCATATTAAAATCTTTTTAATTGAAAACTCCTTGGTTTTAAAAATCGAATACCATTTATTTATTTAAAAAAAGATTCTCGGTCTTGTCACGAGGTTTTGTCAAACTTGTTTAGTCGTTGAGAAAATGGAATTGACTCGAGAAAATTCAAGAGCGATGATTTATTATGACTTTCGAAGTGGTTTAACACAAAAACAGTGTGTTGACCGGATGATTTCTGCATTTGGTGATGAAGCCCCATCCAAAACCACAATTTATCGCTGGTTTGCTGAGTTTCAACGTGGACGTGTCAAGCTCAGTGATGATCCCCGTCAAGGTCGTCCAAAAACTGCAGTCACCCAAGAAAACGTTGATGCTGTGCGTAAGCTGATTGAGGAAGATCGACATGTGACATACCGCGAAATTCAGGCAACTTTAGACATTGGCATGAGTCAAATACAAATAATCTTGCATGAACAATTAGGTGTAAAAAAGTTGTTTTCCCGATGGATACCGCATTCGCTCTGTGAAGAGCAAAAAGCGGCTCGCGTTACTTGGTGCGTCAGAACTCTCGAAAGATTCCACGCAGGATCCTCAAATGCTGTATACAACATTGTATCAGGTGACGAATCCTGGATATACGCGTACGAACCCGAAACAAAAAACCAGTCACGAGTTTGGGTGTTCGAAAATGAGTTAAAGCCAACAAAAATTGTTCGTTCACGGAGTGTTGCAAAAAAAATGGTGGCCACGTTTGTCTCCAAAACCGGCCATGTTACGACTATTCCTCTTGAGGGACAAAGAACGGTTAATGCAGAATGGTATGCTAGCATTTGTTTGCCACAGGTCGTTTCTGAACTCCGTAAAGAGAACTGCAACCGCCGCATCATCCTCCATCACGACAATGCGAGTTCTCACACCGCGCACAGAACAAAAGAGTTTTTAGAGCAAGAAAACATAGAATTATTAGACCATCCGCCGTACAGCCCCGACCTAAGCCCTAATGATTTCTATACTTTCCCTAAAATAAAGAATAAATTGCGTGGACAGAGATTTTCATCACCTGAAGAAGCTGTGGACGCCTACAAAACGGCCATTTTGAAGACCCCAACTTCCGAATGGAATGTTTGCTTCAATGATTGGTTCCATCGTATGGAAAAATGTGTCAAATTTTGCGGAGAATACTTCGAAAAGCAATAAATACATTTTTAAATAGTAATGTTGTGTCACTTCGTTAATTCCCGAAATTTTCAGTGCCGCCTAGGTATATATGGGTTTCCTGTCTTTTTCAGCCGCGAAGCTATGATGTGCTCCTGTTTGAGTAAGACAGCAAGTATTCCAAAGGGATAAGACATATTTATCTAGCAGCATTCATGCTGTGGTGACTATAGTATGTGAGCTCGTCTGTGTAGTATTAGTTCGCGCGGCCGCCACTAATTTAAAACCCCTCCAAGTCATTCAATGCCGTTTTTGCAGGAGGAGCACCGCGACTCGTGAGGAACGTGGATCTTCACGACGACCTAGTTGGACTCCGTCAGTAAGTACTTCAGTCGGCATCAGTGCGTCATTTCGTAAAAGCGGCCCGACACGATAACCCTCATGTCGTGGCCGCCGGTAATTACATACCCGATCCTGCGGACCGACTGGTAAACAGTCGCTGTCGCCCAAGACACGTCTTTTCGGATCCTCCCGATCCATTATCGGTGCTTTTATATTCTTTAAGCACCGGTCACCGTTCTCGTTGAACCTGTCACACTTGCGACGAAGAGTTCGGCAAGCAAATTAACCCACAGACACAGCCCACTAAGTTTCTCGCCGGATCTTCTCAAGGAGTCGAGTTTCCGATTCGGTGGTAGGATATTGCAAAGCACTGCTCTTTCTAGGGCTAGTGTTAGGAACGTCCTCTGGTTAGTCTCGTGAGCAAACATACTACATACGGTTACGCTGGCATAGCCTCCGAGGTTACCAGCTGAGGTAGGAAAAAAAAGCTCGTCTGAACATTGACGTCAAAATAAACATTAACAGAGTACATTCCACTCATTCTGTTGTTTTCATCATATTATTATAATAGTATGCGAGACCAGTATTATAATAAACTTCAATCTTATTTATGTTATGTTTTCCTAAATAAACTGACTCAGGTATCTAATGGGCGTTGTTCTATAATAAACTACTTTTCATATATTTTTATTACGATATTAATACGCACTTTATTTTAATAATACAATACTGTTGAACAAATAAAGTCAAAATTGAATAAATATTGCTATTTACATTTGTGTATGAACAGTGGTTATTGTTTTAAGTTTTTGTAATTTAGTACCTAAAATACACTTACCTGCTGCCAATAAATTCATTTGATTTATTCGCGTAAACACACGTTTAGACATAAACATTGTGTTGAAGATGCGTTTCCAAATTAAGATCATTACTATTAAAATAATTTATATTTTGTTTGAGTTTTGACGATTTTTTAATAGTTTTATTATAATTTGAGATAGTCAGTTTTAAGTTAACTAAAACAGATTGTGAAAAACCAAAATGAAAATGTAGTCTAGACTAGACTTGGGGCGCATAATGCGCATGACTACAACAGCTCGATCGATCAACTCAATTGGGGACGCTGGCCTCTCTATCCCCTTCCCAGACGGCAGCTGCGCAATACATCAATTGAATAATGGGACCCCTTTAACTAAACGCTATATACCTATACCTAGAGCGTGTCTTGGCTATGCCCCTGGCAATACTGTATTTGCGACATCAATTTACATAGGCATGTAATGAAAGCTGCATAAATTACTGCTAAAGCTTTTTTTTCGTCTTAATAATTAACGTTTTTCTTATACATGTTGAAAATTTAATTGGAACAAGTGCACCGTTTTTTTAATGTGTTAAAATACGAAAGCAAGAATATCGCTTTGTAAATAATAATACTATATTTATATTTTTTGTAAATTTATGTTGTAATAGATGATTCTGGTACAGCCTGTATGTGTGCAAATATGAGTACATTTTAAAATTGTCTATCGTTGATTGACCGTCAAGAACATTTGAAACTGTTATATTTGTTGACCAGTGAACAAAGTTTTAGAGAAAGTCTGTATGTTCCACGGTCATCGTGGTACTTTCTCTCCACACTATCCACACACATGAATGTGTTCTTGAGCCGCTTAATATGAAAAGTGTTGTACGTTTAGTGTATGTTTACTACGTGCCGTTTACACGTATTACAACGACAAATAAAAACAAACTATCAAAATAATAGTTAGAAAATATTAATGTTTTAGGCGTTTTGACTAGAACTAAATTTAGCTAGAAACTAGAAAGAGTTCAGTTGTTGTTTATCTATCGTAAATACGAAGTCTTAGTTGAGAGACTAGGCTTGTCATGTATGGATACAATGTTGTATGCTATTTCAATATGTGGTGGGGGCGTGGCAACCTCTATTATCGTGTCGTAAAAGTCGATAGCTTTAAAACCATATGAATGAAAAACCTATAGCAGTTAAATAGAGAAAAATTGTTACAAGTTGAATAAACATGGACGTGCAGAATAGTGAGCAATACCTGCGCAAAGGTGCGATGAAGTTTAATTGTGTTAAATAAAGGCAACAAATTGTCAGTCGCTAATTTGTGCTAGTACCTAGTTAATAAATATATGCCTAGCATTAAAACTCACAGCTTACATTTCTGACCCGTTATATGGAGTAGTGTTGACGAATAGAATATCAAATTAATATGTATTGAAATTAAAAAAAATGATTTAATATATCTGGAGTACCTACTCTTAGTATATGGATATGTCTATAATATGACCTCTCTTAAAATAAGAGCTACTCAAAATATCGCACAAATCTTAATACGTGCACTAAACAAATATAACATTCGATAAATAAAACAGTTATAAAAATTTCAATCAAGTAAAAAATATAAATACAATGAGAGTTTAATAATAAATACCTGTTGGTCGTCCGCACAGCCACGATCCAGGACGCAAGTGGTTGGGTCCTATGATTTATCGAGCGATGCGCCAAAGAGGGTGGCGGGGTACGCGCTTCCCCGGTGATTTATTTTGCTCCAAACAATTCCCGACCTTATTGATAGTGACTTACGGGCTCACGAAGATTTATACGTTCACTACATGCAACAAACTGCAATGTAGGTACGTCTGGTCTGAATGTCTATGTCTGAAGGGTTAATAATTGATGACGCATGCGTAAATTATCGATCATGCAGAATCAGCGTCTGGAGCCATTTTGTACAAAAATGATGTCGATTAAATTCTCAGACTTGAATATCTTGTACCCATGGTTTGTTACGACGAATGTGTTATGCCGCTCATACGATATTTTTATCTAAACTTCTACTCAGAGATAAATTTACCGGTTCTTATATTTTTTAAATATAAAAACAATTTTTAATCGAAATAAGAAGAGCAGTCGGCCTCCCAGAATGCATGACGTGTATTTAATTATTTCCAACGAAGTATTGAAGAAGTCTCGGAGAAAAAGCGAAAACTTTGGATCGGAATTAAGTTGGGAAAAATTATATCCTTAAAAATGGAAATCCAAATCCCATAATGAATAGAATGAGCATCGTTAGATACTAATGGTTTCGGTATATTATTATTTATTTTTTATTTGTACACACAGTTAATATAATACATTAATTGCGATAAGATATAAAAATATTATTTTGTATATTTTTTATTTTACTACATCGCACTTTATTGAATTACCTAAATGTAATAATTTAGCTAGTATCTATACACACAACCATCACTTGACTCAAACCATTACAAAATTCTAATAAGCTAACTTTACCTTCAGTAGCTCTTTAAATTCAACGAGAAATCGATAAAATTCAGCTCCTTATAAACCATGACCACCACCACCTTGAATATTGCTATAGTGCAAGATGTGTGATCATTCTGGTCTTTGGTAGTTCGTCGCATTCACTGTGTGATGCATAGTTTCTATACAGAATCTACTAAAAGTAATTAGCTACTTCCATTTTGCAGAGATGGCATCACATCGAACAGTACCGAAATGTCCAGTAGAACCCGTCCCGAGTAAATTATCTCTATTTAATAATCTCTATTTAATAAATAATAGGGGTTAAAGTATGAATTTGCTGATTTGTATTGAAAAATTGTAATTCGTTCTTTTTTTTCATTAAACATATTTATTGAATCAAAATATTATTATTATCAATATTTACTTCCTATTAGATAGCAATTGCTGCCATATAATAGGAAGGTCATTTATACCTTTACGATAGAACTCTGGTGATCTAGATTCTACAAACTGTGTGAAAGCATTTTGTACTGCCTCCTGGGAAAAAAATCACTTAGAAAAATGTCCAAATCACGAAAAAAATGGTAGTCCGTTGGAGCAAGGTCTGGCGGATACGGAGGGTGACGAATGGTTTCTAATTTCTAATTGCAGTTCCTGTAGAGTTAAAACGGTTTCTCGTGCTGTATGTGGTCTCGTGTTATCATGGAGCAACAATGGTGACAATCGATTCAAGAATCGGGGCTGTTTCATTGCTAGTTTTGCTATCATTCAGAGTTCGGCGTTCATCTCATCTGCCGTTCATCGGACATCTGCCGTTATTGCTTAACCAGATCGGAGAAAGCTATAATGAATAACACCATGCTGAGACTACCAAACAGTTACCATTACCTTTTTATTGCTAAGCTTTGCTTTAGTACACTGTTGCGGCGTTTGACCTGGATCAGTCATTGCATTTTCGCCTACGCCTATCGTAAAGAATCCACTTTTCATCACACGTTACAATTCGATTCAATATTCCTTCATTTCTGTATCGATTCAACAAGGCAACACAAGTTTAAACAGATCTTTCGTTTCTTTTTGCAGATCAGTCAAATCATGAGGCACCCATTTTACATATTTTTTACTTTATTGATTTGACGCAAACAATTCAATATTGTTGGTAAGGTAACATTACGCCATGCCGCTAATTCCCGGGTAGTTTGGATCGGGTCGGCTTCCACCATCTCTTTCAATTCATTATTATTCACATGTGTGGGCGGTCTTCCACGTGGTTCGTTCTTCAAATAAAAATATCCATCGCGAAAGCGTTTAAACCAAAATCGCAAGGTGCGCTCATTAGCAGTCCGCTCTCCAAACTCAACATTTATATTGCGAGCTGTTTCTGCAGCGTTAGTTCTGAGTCGGAAATCGTATTAAAAAATCACTCGAATTTTCGAAGTACCTATCCATCTTTCGAGTCTAAGCTGAATAAAAAAACAACCGAAAGTCGATAACCAAATGTTGCACATTTTTTAAAAGAAGAAACTCATAAGTACCATTTAAAAAAAGTTTCACTCAAAAATCTCAAATCATGAAGGTTTTATGTCAATTCGAAGTAGGTACCTATTACAATAAAACGGCAATTTCATACTTTAACCCCTATTATTCAATTAACCCTTTCTATCATTCCATTTTTGTAGGAATCTGCCTTTGGTTTCTCTTGACGGGAGAAAGCGGAAATGTCGTAACTTGCATCTTGGACTAAATCACTTTGTATCATATTTTTATATATATGTTTCTTCTATGCGTGTAATTGAACTCCTCCTAAACGGCTGGACCGATTTTAATGACATTTTCTGTGTACCTTCAGGTGGATTCGAGAATGGTTTAGATTTACAAACCAGCCCGGCAGATGATGCTGCAGTCGCTATCTAGGTTATTTATCTTTGCTAGAAATAATTTATATGGCAAAACGTTTGCCGGGCCAGCTGGTTATATTATATATTTATGGCTCTTGTGTAGTTGGGTTTTTCAAATTACGACAATTCTGATTTTTTCCATCGCCATGAAAAGTTTATAAGGTTCGAATCGTTGATAAGAACCACTGCTTTTACTGTATTCATAGGTAAATAGCGACATTTAAAGAAACAGAAGGATAGCTAATTATCTGATAGGTAAATGATCAAAAGTAGGCCTTGTAATTGCACATCCTAGAAAAGCAACTAAAAAAATTCCAGGCCCAGGTTCAGGATATGAAAACCATAAATCAATCAATCTAATGTTTTTTATTAGAAATCTCTCTTTTGAAATACTTGATGAATTTGAAATACTTGATGTTTAATATTTTAGATACATTTTTTTGTACTACTTTCAATATATTATTCATTCTGCAAGTGTTCACTCCAACACACACCATAATATCAATTTGACTTTCAGATTGGCAAAGTCATGTCTTCAAATAGTGGATCAATTGAAACACTTAAACATGTCAATCATCATGACATAAAATGCTGTGGCTCTAATAATTGGTTCTTGTTGACTGGTTGTATTGTCGTTGATAATAAAGTTTGGTGTGCTGGTATGAAATGTCCCGAGTTCATTTTTATTTTATTTTATTGCAATTTAGGTAGATTTAATATTTGTAGTCCTTGAGGGAAGTAGACTGAATAATAAATCAATGTATATTTATTTATATAAGCTATAACAATAGTTGTCACTACCCTCTTAAGCTACTACAACACTTACATTAGTGGTTATCTTGTCTTATACTAAAGTGTCAAATGAAAGTGAACAAACAAGCCAGTTGTACAGCAGCAGGTTAAATCATACTAGAACATGAATACCAGATGTACAGGATGCATTAAAACAATTAAAGTCGTCGTGGCCTAACGGATAAGACGTCCGGTGCATTCGTGTTGAAGCGATGCACCGGTGTTCGAATCCCGCAGGCGGGTACCAATTTTTCTAATGAAATACGTACTCGACAAATGTTCACGATTGACTTCCACCGTGAAGGAATAACATCGTGTAATAAAAATGAAACCCGCAAAATTATAATTTGCGTAATTACTGGTGGTAGGACCTCTTGTGAGTCCGCGCGGATGAGTACCACCACCCTGCCTATTTCTGCCGTGAAGCAGTGATGCATTTCGGTTGGAAGGGTGGGGCGGCCGTTGTAACTATACTTGAGACCTTAGAACTTGTATCTCAGGGTGGGTGGCGCATTTACGTTGTGGATATCTATGGGCTCCAGTAACCACTTAACACCAGGTGGGCTGTAAGCTCGTCCACCCATCTAAGCTATAAAAAAAAAGAAAAAAATATTACAACTAGATAGAAATTGGTCACATTTGTGAATCCGCACATGATAGAATTCTGATGAATTCGAAAGCAAGCTAACTTCAAGCTGGATTTTTTAAAGGATTTTTTCAGATTTAAAAAAAAATCTTAGGTTCATATTTTGAGTTCATAAAAATAAATTTAATAAAATAACCAGTGTTTATGAATCATCTTACCCTAAGGAACTTGTTAAAAAGCAGATTAAAAATCATGTTTAAGTCCTGTGGTCTGTGACAATCTAAAGGTGTCAGTCGAGCAAGGAAAAAGAGTTAGACATTCTAGCAGCCGCAACAAACTCTGGTTATAGATCTCTGATATAATGAACGCAGTAAGATTTTTGTAAGTTGCATGTTATTTTTTAGGTTTTTTTCTGATAATATTTGCAAATAACACCACAATTTTTAAATTAGACTTGTTAAGGCCCTGCAAAGCAGTATGCTGTCAGACAGATGTCTTTCTTGGTGTTCAATGTGTTAAATATTCATAACTACTTAAAGCTTCAGCTTCTGAAATATATTTTTTACACTCTGTTTTTATATACATGTTTTATAGTTACATTTATGTGCTTTAAATGCATTATGTTCATGGCTACCAAAATGTACTGTCTGTACTGTCACTCATGGACAACACCAATGCTAAGGGCACAGCCAAGTTACAACCTAGAATTTAATTATCCCATTATGTATAAGTTTACCATTAATTTTAATCCTTTCCTATACAAAGATAGTACCTGTGTATGTGTTTTTAGTACGTTGGGTGCTTCCAATTCAAATTTACTGTTACTTCTAAGCTTTTTGTCTTTTTTATAAACTTTTCTATATGATTTCAGTATGTTTTTAGACAACTAAAATAATTCTTCAAGGACTGATTTTTTTTTAATCATAAGATACAAATTTATTTTATAAACTTAATTATTATATAAAATCCACTAACATTTTTGGTTAATAACACTAACTAGTGATCACCCAGCAGTCAAATTATGATCATAGTTATTAAATGAACATTATTTGTCAAGTTATTTAATCACAGATTTGCCAAAATTAATAGACAAATAATATTAAAGACAATTAATCTATTTCCTATTTGACCACAGATTTTATGCAATAACAAAAATTTTAAAATAAACAAAAGAGTATATATGAATGTGTGTGTCAAATCATGGTAGTGTGTGTAATGATTTTTTAGTTGACATAGGTATTGTATTTTTAATGGATAATAAAAAAAATAGTTTTCTGCACTCCTTCTCGATATATTCTATAAATGTGGGAAATTTCATACTCCTCTGTCCGCCCAATTTTCGTAAAAGGGTACAAAGTTTTTGCTTCATGTATTTTAAATTAAGTATATTCTAAAATAGCGATACCGATTTTAGGGCATGTATAAGACTCAAAAGGCTTATGCAGCTAGATCGACCCTCTCACCTCTCTATGAAGTCTATGGCTACGTTTTATGAAAATTCAAATGTATTCTATTTAAAGATTATTTGTATTATTACATACCTCTTTTGATGGATATTAATACATACTCTATTCGGAAAAAAAATAACTGATAATAGTACAGAAATGCATGTACACGAAGAAGTTAATGTTTATTATGGTCTAAATTAATAATTAAAAAAACTTACCTTACTATTCTATGGGTTTTTACTATAAAATAACACTTTTCTCGTCAACGAATATCCGAAGTATTCTTAAAATAAATAAACACCCACCATAATAAACATATTTACATTTTATTCAGTTTCAATAACGAATTTTAAAATAGATCTGATGCAAACTAGTCAAAGCACCAAGAGGTAATGTACATTAATGTACATTGTACCGTAAAATGGGGCGATTAGGGATCGAGAGGTGATTGGGGAAAAAACCAGGAAAATCTTTCGACGCGCATTACTAGTTTTTTAATCGTTGCAAAATCTTCCATTTTTTGTAGTGTAATAGTAAAATGTTGAAAGTTCACAAAACAACTCTGAATATGCAAGATAATAGCTGCTAACTTATAAAAAATCGCGTTTCAAATTAACTTCTTGTAGTGGTAATTATTTTAGTGCTAGAAACTGCTGTCTTTTATTTATTTTATAACAATAGAAGACGAATGTGATTTATAAATGCAATTTAGTATTTGAACCATCATATATATTAAAGGTAAGTCTCAGTTGTTATTGGTTTTAATGTATTTGATCAAATAAAAATACATGTAAAAATCTGTTGTTTTTGGGGATATTGGGGACGTCTCAGGTACAAATAACAACGAAAGAGGGGTCAATTGGGATGAGAATATGTGAAATGAAAACGACCTAAGTATAAATAGGTACAGATTTCTAGGGTTGTCGATGTAGTTATAACAATATTTTTTAAATTTGTTGGTAAGAATCTGGTTTATTCATGACATTTTGGTCTACAACTTTTATTCAAAATTATCAATGAAGTGTTATTTTATTATTTGGCAAATATTTATATTATCAGTTACGCGTTGTTTTCTATTTTTAGATATGCCTTGCGTGTACGTATCAAAGAGTGCAAATCTTTATAAGAGATATGATCCCTTAATATTAAAAACAGTAATAGAAGCCTATGAAATTAGGAATAAGTCTTTAGTTGAAATAGCTAAGCAATTTAACATAAGTAAGTCAGTTTTGCACATATATATGACAAGAACAGTGAAATCTTAAGGTGGACAAAAATGTCTAAGTAATACATAATAAAATATTTAATATTTGTTCAGAGTGGGGGTATTCATCTGATTAATCCATGGATTAACCGACACACCTAATCTCATAACCCAGATAAAAATATCAGCCCCTAAGTACTTACCAAGAATGAAAAAATATAAACCGTTTATAAGAAAGCCCGCTCGTTCGAATTTAGGTGCTTTTTCTCCCATATACAGAATCCTTTGGGTCTACAATAATGTCCACGGTAGCGTGGTCTCCGTCAATGTTCATTTGGAGCTGTCCGATTGCGCTGAACTAACTTTAAGTGATGAAATAGATGCTTTTTCTAATCGTCTCAAAACTTACAGTAAAAATCTGTCGCGGATAATTTCCCAAGTAAATATAAATTAATCATAAGTAATTAAATGTAATCAAGTTTTAGTTATATAAATTTTTTATTTTTGTTGTCAATGCACATTTATTTTTGTTGTCAATGCACTGTCGATTACACCTATAATTGAGGTAACATCTGCCATGTACTTTTGTCAGTTTTTCAATGTTTTTTATTGATGATCACTTTGTTGGTGTAACTAAATAAATAAATTAATTAAAACCAAGGAGTGCCAGCCCTAGCAAATTTCTCTATGAACACTAATTTCGTCCCCAATAACCACAATTTCTGAGTAAATAGGGATAACACCTATTTTTGCTTTTTTTGCTTAAACTGGAATGCTAATTGCATAGCTTTAAATTGGATAACAAAGATACCCTTAACACTCAATCATTTTAATCCTGATATAGCATTTTAAACATCAACAACTACCTTAAAATTGTTCATCAAGTTGGAATTTGTCCCTAATCAACCCATTTTACCGGTATATTTATTTTAGATAGAAATATGATAGAAACATGCATAGAAACGACAGACCTTCTTTTTTTTGAGTTTAGGGCCTGGTATTTAGACCTTTAGACCAGGACAGACCAACTAGTAGAAAAAATACTAAAGGGAGTACGATACCTACCTACTGAAGGTTTGTGAATGATCTTGTCACAAGTATAAAAGTAAGTAAGTAAGTACTAAGTATTTAATACTTGATTAAAGGTAAGAAAGAAAAAAATCTGTGAACGAATGGGCATCCGAAATATAACCGATTGTTATATAAAGAATGGACTATATTTTGCGTTAATCACATGGTATTAGCGTTATGAACTGTAGCGGAAAGATTAGGGACTTAGTAAAGGAAAATTCTTGGTAAGTCATTTAAAAAGGAAAAAATCTTGGAGTCAACCGAATGACGTCACAAAAATTATTAGGCTGTTATTTTAAAAAATAACAATGAGTAAACTTTGGAACATTGATACTAATGTAAATATGGTTCTACTTGATCATCGGGTCATCCAGTAATTACAACAAAACAAAGCATTTTTATTAAAACGAGGGAAGTGCCACATTTATGCAATATTATTGAGAACAATTAAAGCTTTTAAGAATCTAATAATTCGACTCGAATGATTAAGGCTTGCTAATCCCTGCTGTTGTGTATTATCTATGTTAAAATGTACTGTTTATGATCTGTATACACCGTGCCTAAAAATATCATAAATAAAAATACATGATTTTTTTTATTGCCTAAGTGGGTGGACAAACTTAGTAATTAATCATTTGTTTAGTAACATCACATGAAACGTGATCTAACTAAATTCCATTCAATAATATTAAATTTGATCTAATATAAACCATAGAACATAACTTTACAACGAAACGGAAATAATGTTGTAAAATCGGTAAAAATTATTCGTCATGCTTTCTCTACAAATGTGTTGACGTTTCAGTACATTTCCGCCATAGTTTATAAAAAAACCATGATAGGCTCAAAGATCGAGTAACCGATGGCCGTTGAAAATTATAAAACGGAAGATAAATCATTGCACAAACAAACACCAAAATGTAGAAGTAATTTAAATTGCGAGTAAAAATGTATTAAATTTGTCAAATCTCATGCATCATGACTTCAGGACATTGCAAATCTGAAGTCAAAGCTGAAAAGCTTTGCCGAACATGCCTGTCTAAGGATAACCAATTCCATTCATTGTTTGAAGTATTAGTAGGAACAGTTACACTAGATTCGGTAGTATCGGAAATAACCGGATTAGAGGTGAGAAATGTTAAAGTAATTTTATTTTTACCATTAACATTTGAAAGACTAAGTGGGTTCATTTCTGTCGCCTGATAGTTTACAAAATATCTTCAAACCCATGCTCTGACATTAGACTTTCGCCATTGCAATATAGAACTAAAAATTAAAGCAATAGCAATGATTGTAGTAAACTCCTCCAAATTGATCGTCCATATAATGCTTAAATTAGCACAATGTTTAAATTAGTAATAATAGTTACTGCCACTTAATAAGTTCCAATTTTCAGTAGCATAGACAAACGTTATTACGAAAAACCAATAATGTAACATGTGTATCAAATTTTGCGATAACGATCTGTATAAAATTCATATGACACAGGTTAAGCTAAGCGACATTCTTCAAATGCTTATTATTTTGCTTATTTGCGCAAGTGAGAGCAGCTGCTGCTTATAAATCTCAAAGCGAATGAATGATGAATTCTTCATCAAGCCAAGCATATTTACCTATATTAGCACCTTTCAATATTAAAGACAATGACCAATTGCAATGTTACAAAATAGTCGAGTACATATTGAGATATTAATATCAGCCTCATGATCATCGCAGCCAAAAATATGTTATCAGTAAAAAATATGATTAAAGTATACAAATATAACATATCTATTATATTACTATGATTTGGCATGATCTGAGATCCTGCCATCCTTATCAGTGCTACTGGTGATCATTGTGGGGTTTATCTGCAAAATATTTGGTATAACAGGCCCACAAAAGGCAAACAATATAAAAACAATGTTACACAGTTTGATAATACATTCCTTACAAAAAACTATACAAATAAAAATGTTACATGCAAAAAAAGTGAAGCTACTTGTGTAAAAAAGAGAAAAAAGACAGAAGCAATTTTGCAAACAAATATAATGATGATCATAACTTTCATATTTTTTTGTGTCTGTGAAAAAGTTACTCTTTATTTACTGGACTATTTGTCTACTGAGGTCTCATTAGTGGTAGACATTTGGATCACTTTTGTTCATTGTCCTTTGCACATAAGCACCTTTTTTTCTTTATACAGTCAAAACCGTTTACTGCGACATTGCTTAGAACAACATGCCGGTTATTATAACCTAGAACAAAGGTCCCGGCTGAATGCTATATGACCATCTTATTAAAAACATTGCTTTATATGACATTGCTAATAATGACATACCTCATAAAATGACCACATTTAACTAATATTTCGGAGAATTAGATCTGTTAAAACGACCGGCTAACCTGTATTGTAAACAATTTGAATAGGTATCCACATTTGTCTTCAATGGCTATTAAAATCAGGAAAGAAAACAATAGGATTTAGTTTAGTGTAGGGTCTTTTCTAATTCTTAGAAACAAAACACGTGCATGCAGTAGAGTCAAAGTCGCTTCTTCATATCTCTTCAGTTAGTTTGTTACTTATCTATACACAAAAACTTTGTGGAGTTATTCATGAAACTTTCAAAATGTTGCAAAGAAAAAGAAAACAAATTAATATTGAAGAAAAATCGCATATTATATCCAAGCTAGAGAACGGAATCTCAAACAAAGACTTGGCAAAGGAATATGGTGTATCACACTCGACATATTTGAACCATTTCGAAAGAACGAGAAAAAATTCAAATGCTTATTGACAATAATTTTCAGAAAAATAATATGCATTGTACTTATGTATCCAATAATTCCCTATCGATTTGTTTGTACTTGCACGATACACATTAAAAATCACCAGTTGTTCACCACCAAATCACCACTTTCGGTTTTTATGACTGAATATGAGCAGTCCCTTTGATGTCGTTATAACAGATTTTGACTGTATATATATTTTAATTCTTGATACTAAGTTAGTAAGTTAGTTTCAATTAATAATGCCATAGGAACAAAATAACAGAATATTCTAATTACTTACAGATTCGCAAGGGAGATGGACTCCCTTCTACAATATGTGATGATTGCAGAGAAAAGGCAGAGATTGCTTATTATTTCAAAAAGAAATCGCATGACGCTCATAACTCCTTGAAAGATCAACTAAAAAGAGAAAAAAATGAAAACTGTTTACAACAGAAACAACAAGTTAATAAGGTTATTTTTTGCATGATTGACAAGATTTGTATTCATCTTTAGAATTAATTGATGTAGATAATATATTTTACTGTTTTTTAACTTTGTAGTTAGCAACTGTTACCAGTGTCAAAGTTGAACACATCACATCCCAAGATAATGAAGATTTCTCAGATTCAGAATTCGATGTTCTTCTTGCTAGTGAATCTGATAATTTGACAGAAATAGATCTTGGTAAGCATATGAGAAGAACATACTTTAAATTTGATATAATTAATAAAATATACATTTTGAAAAGAATAATTTGCACTAAAGCAATTCTGCTGCTGCTTTTAAATTGACAATGTATGTTACAAGACATCACTGGTCCATAATACTTCTTTAATATTCTTCTCAGAGCCAGTTAAGAATGAGAAATCAGCACAAGAAACACATCCATCCTATTTTGAATGTAAAAATTGTTTATTGGTGTTTGAATCTCAATCAAAATTACAAGAACACAAGAAGAAAAAATGCATAAAAGGTAAAAAAAATATCTTCTGGCACTAATTTTATGCAAAAGGTTAATGGTTTTATTTCTAATTCTTAATGAACAGTTGAGTTGGATGAATCTGGTGGGACTTATTGCCCTCTTTGTGGAACATGCTATGATGGAGCTGAAAGTTGGTCCAAACATTTGTGGGAGTCTCATGCTGAAGTTATGGGACCAAAGAAAAGAGGACGTCCTAAGAAAATGTTAACAAGTGTGAGTGTGGGATGTTATTGTAATTGAACCATAACTGTCCAAAATTCATTAAGTAATCATATCATTCTCTTCACAGTCAATTCTGGATAAATTGTCAGAGAATGGATTCTTTATAACAACTGTTCCTACCAAAAAGCTAGACTGCTCATTCTGTACTAAAAATTTTAACACCAAAGAAGAACTGACCAGTCATTTCATCGAACACAAAGGTAATAAAAATGAAATTATTTTTGTATGTGTGGACTAGTGAACTATTCTTATTTATATTCATAGTAAAAAATAACCATCTCTTGCAGTGTTTAGTCCATTAATTCGTTGTATAATTTGTTATAAACAGGATTTACAGCATTTAAATATAGAGATAAGGTATGATCTACATAGAATTTAAATTTTTTATTTATTTTACAGGTATGAAGGTACTGTGTTGCATAATGTGTAAAAAAATGTTTTTGAAGAAAGAAAACTTTCAAGAACATTTGTGTATTGAAGACCGTAACGAAAATAAGAAGCCAGTAAGATTTTAAAAGTCCTAATTTTAATTATAAAAAATTACAAGTAAAAAAGTATAAACATATTTGTGTTTTAGGATGATGCTAATGATATGCAAGCTACAAAGAAATGGAATTATCTAACTGAAATGCTATTACAAGATCTGTTGGAGCCAAATTGTGAAATGGTAAATTAATTTGACAGTTAGTATTTAAAAAAATGCTTTATTTGTCCATAAAGAAAAATTATAATAATTTTAATTCATTTTAGGAAAACGTTGATGTTCTAAAAGTGTGTACTGCATGTAGTGCGATTTATCTTTCTGATGAAGATCTTGTGAACCACCATGATGCTGAACATCCGGAGCTTTCCCTTCGTTGTAATCTGTGCACAAAGGTATAGTGTGTATAATTTTAGGATAAATAGCTAAGTTGAAGATATGTATAATAGAATAGACTGGTGTAATGTGTATTAATTAGGGATAAATTGCTAAGTTGAAGATATGATTAACTGTAATTAAATTATTAGTATACGGCATGCTTGAAATGATTGAACTAGTGCAAATTAGGATTTAAAAATATTATTATCCCTTATTAAGGTGTACTCTAAAATGCTAAATATTTTCATACTACTATTATATTTCATTTAAGGTTTTTGCATCTATAAAATCAGCAGCAAGACACAGAGCAATCTGCAAACAGGTTGAAAAGACACATGAATGCACTACATGCGGATTGAAATTCGCATATGAGATTTCATTGAATAAACACATTCTTAAATATCATCAAGGGCAGAGTGTGTCTATAACATTTGAGGATACAGCTCCGAAAGGTGAAGAAGATAAACAGTATCAATGTGATACTTGCAGCAGACTGTTCTTCAGGTCCTTATAACTTGCAAATCATCAAATTATGCATTATTCAAATTATACCACTGTATTATAAATTCAATTTTTGTGTTTTTTTTTTAGAAAAGAATTATTAGCCAAGCATGCCAGGATACACATGCCAAATCAAAAATATTTTCAATGTGACATATGTGAAAAGAAATTCACAAGGAAAGATAATTTACGGTGAGTGAGATTGATTCTGAAATTCATTAATAGAGCATAACGAAAAGTTAAACAAAGTAAAATTATGTTTAACAGAAAACCATTTCCATTACATGTACATGTAGTACAGTACATATTCTGTTTAAGTTTCAATAAAAGCTACCTTGGTCTTGCAAATTTTCACCTTATCTTCGTACATTTGTGCAATGTCGAACATTTATTTGGGGGCGGTGGTACGCGTCTGGTGAGACAAGGCAGCTAATTAACACCACCCTGCTTATTTCTGCCGCTGCCGCTTTACTGTAGTCCCTATTAAATAGAAGATAAGGCTAGTCTCACTTACACTATTTAAAAAAATATTCTAACATTTATAGGTCGCACAAGCGTATCCATGATCCGCATCGTGAAAAAGGCCCATCGAATACATGTTTATGCTTGTATTGTGGTCGGAGTTTCTCCAATTCATCCAATTTAATAGTCCATATGCGTCGGCACACGGGCGAGAAGCCATACAAATGTGATTTTTGTGGGAAAGGTAAGATTTGAGTGGTTTTTAATAAGACTTTATCGATTATTCTACATTAATAACAGTTCAGATACACCTTTGTTTAATTTAAATCAGAATATCGGTTTGGTCATACTGATGCTGCAGCAAATCGCGATTTACATTTTTTGCAAATTTAGAAAAATATGACAGCAGTGAACTTAGGTGGGCTTTTGGATTTTTTTAAAGTATTTGGTAATCAATAATGGTTTGGTATCACAAGACATAACGTTATGTTTTGTGTATTTAAGTGTCGTAACCGTAAAATGGTATCTGTCTAGTTTTATCTTTGTTATTAAGGATTCTTTAAAGCAAATAAAATGTAAGCAATGTAAATGAAAAAATTTTTTTTTTAAGAATAACGTGAACGAAAAAAATGTTTGTGTTTCAGTTCCTAGCTTTTAATCGCACCCTCGCTACCGCAGCGTAGTTTTTCGTGCATGGCGATATTCACGTTATAAATACTATTAACACCGTGTGGGTCGTGAGCTCGTTTACTTATCCATGCAGTAAATCAAAAAGTAATCCTATATATATTATTAGTCTAAAATGAGTAAACGTTATCCAAAATATAGCATAATGGTATTTCCATCTTGAAACAACGTTTGAAAGAAGTCTTCGTCATTGGCAGCAGTTTTTTTTATTTTTTTTATTGCCCGAGTATGTAGACGAGCATATGGTAATATGGTATACCTGATGGTAAGCGGTTACCGTCGCTCGTGGAAGTCAGCAATGCCAGGGGCAGAGCCAAGCCGCTGCCTACCGCTTAATACTCTCCACAAGCCTCGTTTGAAGAAGGACATGTCATAACGGTCGGGAAAGTTTCAATGACATATATATTATGGTCATTAACCTATTACAATTTTTTTCCTCTTTTTTCAGGTTTTCCACGATCATCAGATCTGCAGTGTCATCGAAGATCTCACACCGGTGAAAAGCCCTGCGTTTGTGGTGTTTGCGGAAAAGGTAATTTAAATAAATTTGTAAAATCTGACTTGTATATAGGTTTGCAATTTACATTTATTACTGGTGGTAGGACCTCTTGTGAGTCCGCGCGGGTGGGTACCACCACCCTGCCTATTTCTGCCGTGAAGCAGTAATGCGTTTCGGTTTGAAGGGTGGGGCAGCCGCTGTAACTATATTTGAGACCTTGGAACTTATATCTCAAGGTGGGTGGCGCATTTACGTTGTAGATGTCTATGGGCTCCAGTAACCACTTACACCAGGTGGGCTGTGAGCTCGTCCACACATCTAAGCAATAAAAAAAATAAACACATTACAATAAAAAAGATTACACATACATACATTAAAAAAGGCTAGATAGGAGCCCAATGCAACTTACAAATTACTATAAAAGGACATATAACGATTTTTTGTTTATTTATTAAAACGTTGTGCAGGTATGTCTTGTAATACGTGTATAAAATCAATCTGAATAGTTTTGACTTAATTTGATTTTAACGTTATTAAAATTATTTACAACGTTTGCTCTCGAAGGCTTTGCGGCTTACCACTTTTAATTAAGCCTTGAATCGCCACGTACTTCGACAACGCTATAGGGCCAGATAATGGATTACTTACCGCAAATCATTAGCATCGTCAACTATTTTACTTGGCTAATTTCATATATTTATATCCTTAAATTGTAAAGTTCTTTAGCCGGTCCTAAAGATGGCAGAGCGATTGGCACCTCATAGGCAAGTTACACTGTCGTGTTGTTTTCTGTGTTATCACCGGTTCCTCTTTGAAGAGAGAAAAAGTTGTTATGCCGTCTAATATGTAAAGATGGACGGCGATATTGTCACCGTGCCGTATTTGGGCTCCAAAACACGTCATCTCGGATCCTCCCGATCCACTAACGGTGCTTTTAGGTACTTCAAGCACCGGTCACCGTTCTCGTCGAACCCGTCGTTTGCGACGAAGGGCTCGACGAGTAAATTAACTCTCAGACACAGCCCACTGAGTTTCTCGCCGGATCTTCTCAGTGGGTCGCGTTTCCGATCCGGTGGTAGATTCTGCGAAGCACGGCTCTTGCTAGGGTTCGTGTTAGCATCGTCACCAGGTTTGAGCCCCGTGAGCTCACCTACTAAAGTTAGGGTTACGCTGACATAGCCCCTAGGGCTATCAGCACAGGTAGGAAAAAAGAGAAAAAAAATAAAAAAATTGGCCTATGTTAGTATCAGATAAGCCCTGAGCTTCTAATCTAACAAATATACCATCATGTTATGTTTGAACGTGCCTATTTGTAGGGTTCTCCCGCAGCAACAAGTTGACACGTCACATGCGCGTTCACACTGGTGTCAGACCGTACAAGTGTACCTACTGCGAGAAGGCGTTCTCACAGAGCAACGATTTGACCTTGCACATCCGGAGGCACACTGGAGACCGTCCTTACATATGCGAAGTCTGCGGAGACAGATTCATTCAGGTAACGTTCAAGTCAATTGCGAATGTTCAGTGACAGAACAAGCCAATAATATATTTTAGTATAACAAAATCGAGTAATCGCCTTCAACATTATTTAAAATTAGAGGTCTCGCAGTAGTCGAAATTCGACTTTAATCAATTGAAATTTTATGTTTAAACATTATTATGGCTCTATTGTCAAATACTATTATACTTATGTAATATAATCACAGATTTCGCCAAAACACTACACTTCGCTAAAACACTATACATAAATAATAATAAAGACAAACAATATTCATATAATCTCAATTTGACCACAGACTTTAAACACTAACAAAAGTTTGACAATTGACAATAAACAAAGAGTATATATGTGTGTGTTGTGTCAAATACATGGTAGTGTGTGTAATGTTTTCTTTATAGATTTAATGTATCTTTTATGCATTATTTAAAAAAAAAAATTAGCATTGTGCACTTCTCTTCTATATTCTCTATAAGTGTGGAAATTTTCATACTCCTCCGTCCGCGCAATTTTCGTAAAAAGGGATACAAAGTTTTTGCTTCATGTATTAATATATAGATTAAATGAAAATATTTAATTAGATTTTTTCTTCTAAAAAGGGCTGAACACAAACCGAGAGAGGTGGCGATTGCTCGTGAGGCGCATAACATCTGTCCACAGCAATGATACTGAATGACGATCACGAACGCTCTGACAAGAGTGATACGACAAGGAAAAAATAATATCTTCTAATTTAATTTTTTTAATTGTTATTTTTTCACAGGGCACAGCACTGCAGAATCACCGAAGAGCCCACGGGCATTTCCGCAACCCGACAAACGATGTCCAGACGCAAGTGCAAGGTTTACAGTATAGTGTACAAAATGTTTCTCAGAACAGTCATTAAGTATGTTTTGTTTTTGAAATTGAAAGTATAGTAAAATCCATGTGGTACAGAGTAGGCCAAAAATACTTGTGAATGAATGCCTTGAAAAGTAATATAATACGTATAAGTGTACTAAGATAAACGTACCTACTATGTATATACAAATCTAATATTCTTCTCAGTCGTTCCCTCGCTGTTGAGGATCGTGACTCTTCCCTAGTCTTCTCTCTGTTTCTCTCCATCTATTCCTATTTTTTGCATCGTTCGGAGCTTCGTTGACCGGCATTTCTAGTTGCAGAGTCACTTGTTCAGACCACCGCTTTAGGCTTCGGCCGCCAGGCCGGTGACGATATTATATGAAATATTGACATTATATAATAAATATATAAATGGATATTTGGGTCTTCTTTGTTTTAAGTCATCAATGTATCCAGAACGTTGTAGTTGATTAAGTGACGTGCATGTATTTTGAACAAATGTAGTCTTTCATAGCAATAGTAACATCAGAACTTGACCGGTACTAGTGAATACGGAAATAACTGATTGAGTTTCCTTGAACCGTCGTCGTCCATTCGTTTAGTTATTATATTTAATAACTCTTCATAGTTCGCTGAATTTGTTATGAAGATTCACAGATAATTTACAGTCTGTATAAGCCTATTTTTTTGATGAATTTTCTCCTTATGCTGATATGTTTTTGCTGGTGGATTTATGTACAACGGATTTTATTTTAGTTAATATACGACCGCTTTGTTTTAAGTTGTGAAATAAAATAAAATAAAAAACGGACTGCGTCATTATAGTAAAGTGCTAACGTTTCTCATATTATTTCAATTATTAATTACCCCTTAAAATATTGTTAATTTGACGCTAAAATATTTCACAACGGTTCTAAAAATATTCGTCAATAATCTGATGCGACCATCTATCAACTTAGTAAATAAGTAACATAAAGTTTAATGATCTGCTTTATCTTAACTTTACGAAACGATTCGGTGTGAATAAATCTTCAAGAAATAAACACGCCAACCCTTCCAATCACTTCCCAGAAAGGTTTCGAAATCGCGAAACATCTACCCTGTATTATGTGGAAATTAGGTACTTTGTAATGTTGTATTTATAACTGTCGTGTATTTAGTACGTTATCAGTCTTGCATTTGCAATCTAATGTAGTATAAGTACCGGGGTTGCTAGTTTGCGGTAGAATTAGTGTTTTTCGTAGAAATGTAAATAAAATTAGAGAGATATATAACGACGTTTGCTAAACCAATATCTGTTATATGCAGTTTTTAAAGATTACGTCAATTTGCTTATTACCAACACATAAGTTTATTTTACTAATTAAAATTTCGTATCAAAAGAAAAGAAGTAGTTAAACTTTTTGCAGATGACAGATATTGTTTTGACAATGACGATAATTATCCATAAAATCAAGTGGTTAAATGTTAGTGGATATTATTGAACTTGAGAACAGCGAGTGTTTGATTTATGATATATTTTTACTATTGTACAATAAAATTTTCGGCTTACGAATTTGGAATTTGGAACAAAACTGTTCAGAAAAGTCAATCAAGTAAAATTAATATACTTTACAATATTTTAAGAGTTGACTTCAATATTTTTATATAGAAAACACAAAGTTATGTTTTATTTGTTTAGAATTTTATATACGAATCGTAGAATTATTTTCTAAAGATATAACTTGGATCTAAAGTAAATTTCCTCAATACTAATAAGATAAGTAAGTGTCTTCTCATTATCTACGTAGCTCGTTATAATTCAAGTATTTAGATTCTTCCAATAATAAAGTGATTAATACTGATGGTTTTTGTACTTTTAAAAACAATTAAATAGAAGAGGAGTATGATGAAATCTGAAGTTTTGATACGGTGTTTTTTTAAACGGTGCTATTAACCAGCTATTGGCGTCGGATAAGTACATCATTCGTAAGCAATAAATGCCGCTGGTAAACGTTTACAAGCGCTGAAAACCTTCAATTTTTCGTTGTTGGCTTCAAGATAAAGATAAGTGCTATTATGTATGTAACCTCTATACGATTTATCTTAAAAGAAGTTAATATGTTATAAAGATGGTAGCTTAAATGTTGTTTTGGTTGAACGAGCACCACCAAAACAACATTTAAAGCTATTGCTTCACCACTTTTTATGTTTTTTATATTTGAATATTTAAATTTCATTCATGTCCTCTTTATAACATATTAACCTCTTTTAAGATATCTCGTATAGAGGTTACATAATATATACCTAAGGTTTTAATTAGAATATTTAAAATGATGTCTCAGGCTTTTAGTTTTTCCGTGTTTGTGTTTTTTTCCTACCTACGCTGATAGCCTTGAGAGGCTATATCAGCGGAACCTTAACTAGTAGGTGAGCTCACGGGGCTCAAACCTGACGACATTGCGAACACGAACCCTAGCAATAGCCGTGCTTCGCAGAATCTACCACCGGATCGGAAACGCGACCCACTGAGAAGATCCGGCGAGAAACTCAGTGGGCTGAGTCTGAGGGCTAATTTACTCGTCGAGCCGAGTCGATTAAATATTTGTAGAATTTATACTTTAATAGGAAGTAAGTATATTGTTATGTGCAACGATACTTTGATCTGTGAAATCTAAGACAAGTTCGTGCTTCAAATTTGCCAAGTAAAGACGATTTTTAGAAGTTGATAAACTGATTTTATAAAGTTGTCATTTGACAACTCAGTGACCGTAAAACATAAACATACGGCGTAGTACAGTGGGATGTGCCCATCTCTAGCATGCTAAATTTTATCGTCGTTTCGTATGTTGCCGTCTCGCTTGTACTTGCGTATATGCCGGAAAGGGATGGAAGCTTTATGTCAGCGATAATGCTGTTATGCCGGCCACTGACATTCGTACAATGTACGAATATTTGCGCGCATGTGAAGGGCCGTCAAACATTCATTCGCAAACTTAGCGGCTGTGCAAATGGGTTCGGTACTCAATTTGCGAACCCGTTCGCGCTTCCTCCTACACTTGTTTACGAATGTCTCACGAATTTCTCCTCCTTTTTAATTCTTCAATAGAACATTGAAGAGAAAAAGAGTTTTGAATTCTTTCCCAGACATCATTAACAGCCATGCTGTTTTTATGGGATTTCTTTTGATGAAGATACGTACACAGTAGACGTCACGATCTATGAAAATAGCGAAACGTCCGTTGCCTTCGCAATTCTGGGCGCAACTGGTCACACGAATGTGTGGGAGACTACGCGAAGGACCGCGGTTCGCGCGCTTTGATGTCTGTTAAAAAACCGACACAGCTTGGAAAACCACGAATGCAGCGCGAAAACTTCGCATAATCATTTGCAAATATCGTCCTACACTTGCGGGTTTGCGTATTCGTGCGAATGTGAGTGACCGGTGTAACACACTATCGCAACGCACCTCAAGATAGGTGCGGCGCCACACCATAAGTGAGAGTGATTCAAATTTTAAGCGTATCAAGGAACCGCGTGATAAAAAAGCAAAACACCTTCAGAACATTTATTACAAACGTCATTTGTTATGTCCGCCTGACGGCGGGTACAACAAAGGAACTCAACGACAAAGATTACAATTGTTTATTACAAAAAAATATTAATTAACTAAATATATAAAAAATAATAATAATAATTGAATTAAAGTATAGAAAGAAATTGATTTCCAGTACCAACAATTACCTTATATGGTTATTAAGAAGCTATCACTAGTTAAAGCGCGCAGTTTTCATTCATTGTAATAACTAGTTATTTTGTTTGTCTGTGTGTAATTATATTTTGTATTAATTTTATATTTTAGAATTTTGTAACAACATCGTAACACATTCCTTATGACTTCGGCTCTAAAATCACTTAGCTATTACAAGTTTAACGAATTTACAATAGATTTTACTCGTTACGGAATAAAATTATTTTATTTAAATAGTTCCCAAGAGATATTTTCTCGGTAACCTTTTTTCCCGAAATATCTAAACCGAATGTCTAAATATGTTTTGATGACACATTTTATTAAAAGGTATTTATGATTAATGTCATGATCAATTGATTCCGACCGAAAAATGGTGTCCGCTTTTCCGGAGTAGTGCTCCATAATGAATTTAAATATACATAAATAATAGTTTTGGGGCATCGGCTTATCCAAGTTAGGTTTAATGATCTTTTCTGTCTTTTTCGTTATGTCTTCAACATCTTTCGATGGGTATTTCAGTCCACCTCTAGTTTTAAAATGAATCAGCGTTTTCAAATTGCTGTTCGGATCTCCAACCAATAAATAACGAAGCACACGTCTGACATTTTATATTGCGGGATAATTTTCTCGATACAAATCCTGCCATGTAAGTAACAACTGAGTCGGCATATACGGAAAGAGTGCTTTTTAAGCAATTTATGATTCCTCGTATAAGGTACTTTACATACTTTACAGAATTTACAATGGGGAGTGTTCCGAGGAGTTGTTCAATTTAATAGAAGCCGCTGATTTTCGCAACCGATCGTCTCGCCGGAACTATCATCCGCACCATCTGGATGGTTGGCGTTCCATTACAATGCGTTTTAAAAACAGTTTTCTGCCACGCACAGTAAATCTCTGGAATTCGTTGCCATCAGCGGTCTTCCCCAACAACTGCGACATTGGGTTATTCAAGAAAAGAGCATATTCTTACCTGAAGGGTAGGCAACGCACTGGCGTAAACGCTGGTGACCGTGGGCGGCGGTGAATCACTTACCATCAGGTGAACCGTCTTGCTCGTTTTCCTCTTAGTTGTTATATAAAAAAAAAAGTTGCTGTCATCCTCTGGCACTTCAACCAATTGTTTTTTTTCGGTTAAATCGTTCAAGTCTTTTTGGGGGCTAGTGCTTGTGCAATTTAAAATATTAACTTGCTCTTTGTCGCGAATTTCGGCTCGGATAAGAAGCCTCTTGAAGGCTGCTTTAAATTGAACGGCATTTGGATTATTGTTAAAACCTCCTCGAGCTCTTATAGCCGAAAAAAATAGCTCGACGTGATCCTGGCTGATCTTGTACAGTGGCAAATATTTTAATATTTTTGTGTTTTCGACAAGATGTCGATATAAAGCTAATGCGCTTTCATATCAATGATTAGCCCCATGAAGCCGGTCTGTCTCGACTCAATTACTAACTGCCCTGACGGCAACCGTAGGCCGCGTATATAGCTAATTGCACTTTCAAACAGCAGTTCGATAAGGCTCATGTTTTGGGGACACATGGTTTTTTTTTAATCCAGTTGGGCGAATCAAGTGACTGTTCAGGATATCGAACACATCGTTAAGTTACGGTGCCCTCACAATTTTCAAACGCTTTGAGTTTTAAGTCTAAGTCCTAAGTCCTAAGTTTTAAGTCCGAGTTACAAAACTCTAAGGCATCCGCCACAGATTTACTTAGAAGTTAAGTTGCTAAACGGACTTTCATCTTTTGCTTAGCAAAATATATGTGAGCTTTAGTTATTTTTGTTGCCATGTGCAGTCCCTCCTTTTCTTGCAAATTAATAAGCGCCTCCAGATAGGTATAATATATTTTTCGGCCATGCACATCTTCCAACACTCTTAAGTCGCCGAATGTGTTTCGGATTAATTTTACCATAATAATATCACAAGGATCAAAAAATGTATGCAATATGCTTTCGCCGCACTTGAATGTACTATCAGTTTGTCCTTTAGTAAAATGGCAACCAACCTCTTGTAACATCACAAAATTTGCTGCAGACCCATTGCATGTAACACTCACAATATTGATGCCCACTTCCTCGCATTTCTGAAGGCACATTTTAAACAATTCACATTTTTGCTCTGTTGTCAAAGATGTAATGAAAAAATATGCGATTGGAAGTTTCCAACTTCCGTTGATGTTATTAACTAAAAATACGAGGCATTGATTCGCCACCTCCACAATGCGTCATTGTTACATTCTGACACTAATATAACTCGACCGTAATACATTTTTTTTGGGGATCCCAGTATAAAGACTCTTATTGACATCTCATCAAATGTTAGGGAGCGCACAATTGGTGTGTCGCTAGCTCGAACTTTGTTTTGGAGAGCCTCAAATTCTTCCTCACAAAGGCCGGGTTCCGCATTTATTTTTTGATACCACCTAGTTAAAGTCCTTGGGTGAGGCCAGCATGTATTGTATGTCGGCGCACAAAATTGTAGGCCTTCGGCGAAAAAAAGTGGAGCGTACGGGCAAATTTTCTAGTCTCTTCCGAATATTGTTTTTCAAAGCAAGCAAATATAAGTTCGAGCAAATATAAATTTCTTTTACATTTGGCTTTACATTTTCCATTCCAATAGCTTCCAGCCACTTTTTCTTTTTACGCTCATTTCTTGGGATCCTATAAAATATATTTTAATTATTAATTTTGTATGCTTTAATATATGCATTGCATGATAGCATGATAAAAAAATATATTATATAAGCAATCATATTAAATCGATATGAAAGTCGATAAATAATGTACAACCCTAGCTAATAAATTAACATTTTTTAAGCGTAAAAATTTCGTTAAATAAGTCAAATCCATTCATGACCTATAACTGTACATAAGAACCTTGATAATTATAATGTAAATCTTCCTATATTTTCCCGGTAACATTAACAATAACCAATATTTTTAATGTTATTTAAAGCGTACCTGTGTATGGTTAATGATGGCCGATTTGGTGTTTTTCTTATGCCGCACCCAATAACACTACACACTGGCATATTTGTGACGTAATTATTTACTTTTGGCTTCAATTATTTTAAATTAAAAGCAAAATATTGAAAGATACCGCGACTTTTTGACAAGACAACTACCGGCTGAACTGTCTGACAATGACATTTAGTGCGCTATTTTTTCTATTCTATTCTATCAGCCCATGGACGTCCACTGCTGGACATAGGCCTCCCCCAAGCCTCGCCACAACGACCGGTCCTGCGCTGCCTGCATCCAGCGGATCCCCGCGAACCTCAATAGGTCGTCGGCCCACCTTGTGGGAGGCCTACCCACGCTACGTCTCCCAGTATGCGGTCGCCACTCAAGAACCTTCTGGCCTCAACGGCCATCCGTTCCGCGAGCAATATGTCCTCCCCACTGCCACTTCAGTGTCGCAATCCTTTGGGCTATGTCGGTTACCGTGGTTTTCCTGCGAATCTCCTCATTTCTGATTTGATCTCGCAGGGAAACTCCGAGCATAGCCCTCTCCATTGCTCTTTGGGTGACCTTGAGCCTTCTCATAAGGCCCATTGTGAGCGACCAGTGCATCGTGTATGGCCTTGGCGGGACGTACAGCAAGATGGATCGTGAATAAAGCGCTTTACAGTGCTGAGTAAGAACGAGATAGATATATGTTTATGTGTGTGCCTTTAAAATGGGTCCTATTTATATAAGCAATTGTACGTATAGAACAATATGTCGCGTCCATACTTTGGAGGTCTATGAGTTTTTCATTTTAATTGGTTTGGGGCAGACTACGCGACGTCAACGACGCTCACTTTGACATAAGAGATTGAAATGTCATAGTGTGCCCTATCATCAGTTACTGAGCAAGTTTGCAAGTTTCATTTGATTTTAACATGGAAGTGGTAGTCATGTCTGAACACTTTAGTATAGATAAAAAAAGTATAAATGACATGAGAAAATGCACCTATTACTTCCTATTGATTGGTTGATTGATACATTAATTCATTGTTATTGAAGTTTACTATTATAATTTTAAATTCGCTTAATTAAATTAGGGTTTCTATTACTACATACAAATGATTAGTACCAAATCGCCCGTATGTGCCAATGCTCTACCGACAGGTATTACGGATTTTGTCATCCAGTTTGAAACACGCTAATGGGGATACATGATGTATGACAGTATGCATGCGTTTACACATCACATATCATTTTAATAGTTTCATATTTCGTGGAAATGCAATCATTTCCCTAGCCTGCCAAGCCCTGTATATACTTACCGGTTTGCCATGCGTTATTTCGTGCTTGACATATGTAGATCAGCCCTACTAATTAGTCTGTCCAAAACAACAAAAAATAATACGACCATACATACGAGTAAGTAGACCTCGTTACAAGTGTGGAAATAATAATAAAAATCTACGCTCATTACCGTTCGTAAAGTAATGCCGTAAAGAGCCACTTAAACTGTTATAATTTTTATTTCATACCACATGATATATCATAATTTTATTATGATTTGCCGGTTTCCGCAGCATCGTCTTTCAGTTTGCTTATTATCTTTTTAATATTTGTAAATCTTTCGGTCCAATGTCTTATTGAAAATCAATATTTATGTTGTAACATTACATATGGTTGAGTTTCATTGAAAACAAATTAAATGCATAAATAGTATGCTGATTTTTTTGTTAATCACAATCTTCGTATCTGTTGTACATATCAATTTATTGTATTCAGTGGTATTAAAATGCGTCAATATATTTTTGTTACAGTAATATTAATAGGAGTTACCTATGTTTATGTAAGTTTTTTTGTTTTTTAAGGTGCTATGTGTTAATCTAAAATCAGTTGACTAGGTTGTTCGTGTTTTCGCCTTCTCATGGCCATATATTCGGTTTGACTACATTTTTAAAATAATTCAATTTAAATTAATTAAATTGACAAATAACAACTTGGTGTCCGACCCACACTTTCAATTATCACCACAGGGATTTAATTCTACGGATAAGAACTAGTTGTTCATATCAAATTTTGTAACAAATTACAGGGAGGTACAAAACCGGGAACGTTCTTTTGGAAACCTAGAATTGGTTTGGATTTGGTGGTTCAAACAACAGGTTTGTGTAATGAAATAATAATAATAATAATAAGCCTTTTATTTCCAACAACCTTACACAACAAGTTTTCCTTAAAGTGTTTCTTGGACAGCCTTTTCTTTTTTTGCCCATTTTGTTATTTCTACTGTCCATCTTGTGTCTGCATATGTCGCTAGATGGCCTGCTCAACGCCACTTGTGGCTTAGAGCGTACCTGAGAGCATCTATAAACTTTGTCTTTTTGCTAATTGATTCGCTTTTTATCTTTTAGATTGTTCTAATTTACAATATACTTCTTTCCATAGCTTTTTGACAGGTCGTTAATTTTGTTTTTATTTTAGTGTTGTGTCCATGGTTAACATTCGTATGTGAGAGTCTGTAGGATACAGGTATTCATCACAAACTTTTTCAGGTGAAGAGGGAAAGACCTTTTTAGACTTTCTTTTAAGCTCTAGAATTTTTATATATACTCGTCCGCTTCGCTGGGCATTAAAATTAACATTATTATTACTCAACCCCACAAAGATTCTCATCATTAACGCCCCCACAACTGGTATAGGGAGTCTAACACTCATATAAATATTAGCCTATCCATTAAGTACATGTATTTTCTACATGGATATCAAGTTTCAAATCAATCGGACGCATGGTTCAGTAGTTATAACGGAACAACTCTTTTTTTTTATTTTCACCCCTACCTACGACCACCCCCACCATGCAAACGATCAGATTAACATACATACATTATTAAAAATACGTAGGACATTGATGCTATCAATATCTGACGCGCTCGATTATGTCCATGCAACAGTATTTTTTTACATTTTTTAAAATCTATAGCCGCTCCCCCTCCAATGAAAACGTATACATTATATAACATTTTTTTCTTCTTATCGTCTAAGCTTTGCATCCCAATAGGTCTCTATGACGCTCGAGTAAATCCCCATTTAGCATCGTGGGCTCCCCTACTATATATGATCTGTTGTAAAACAGCTTGAATGAAATCCCGCTTGTTCGATTGGCTGGTGCTCAATTTTTGAAGTCATTGAAGGAAGCTTTTTAATGCGAAAAGGCGATATATAGTATCTATTACTTTTTTAAATAAATAAGTAAATAAGTAGCAAAGCAGAACCAGTTTTTAAGTTATATTTTGTAAACCGTCGGTTCTTGGTCTTTAGTCCTGGTTTATCTTTTGAATATTTATGATAATTTCGCAATTCTTGGCAATCTCCACTAGAGCAATAAGTAGTTGAACTCGAAGAGGTGTCAGTTTTCTTTTTATATACTTGTAGTACTTTGTAAAATTCAGTGGCATAAATATTACATTGCCTCTAGGTTTGTTTAATTAATATCTTCTTATCGACTAATAATATTTTTTTTGCTGCGGCTTGGCTCTGCCCCTGGCATTGCTGAAGTCCATGGGCGACGGTAACCACTCACCATCAGGTGGGCCGTATGCTCGTCTGCCTACAAGGGCAATAAAAAAAAATAAAAAAATTGGGAAGGAAATGAAAATTTTACTGTTCAATGTACGTATGTTACAGGTAAAACACCCGATGCGCGTAGAATACAAATGCCTAATAAACAAAATGTAAGAGCTGGTGTTGTGGTGCTAATAGATGGTTATCAAGCTGGAATCACACTTATTAGTTTAATGGCTGGCTTGTCTAGTGGGTTCGGTCCTGACCCGCATCTTAATCCTATTTCAGCTTATTATTTTACCAATGTATATCGATGGGCGCTGAGATACTTCAGTCTGTGAGTATTAAAAGCTCCTTATCCGCGCTTCCTTCATTCGCATTTTCATTATTCATGGATTAAATAATGCGACCCAATTCCTATGTCCTCGGCTAAAAGTTTCTTTATTCGCGGATCTAATCGGTACATCGGTACCTACAAATTGATAAAAAGAATTCCATTATGTAGGTATCCAAACGAATGTCCTTTGTAAACGCGTCTTCAAATGAACTAATAAAAATGTAAAATAGACCTTATGACAACCATGCCTAAAATATGTTGTTAAATTATTATTTTTTATTTTGTCACCTAGGAACTTACCCCCTATAATTCCATATTTGTAAATTATCATTCCATACACACAGTTTCTGTATTCGCGGCATATTTAAAAATAAGTGTTGTATATAAGGAACTGATACAAAGTTGTTACAAAAAAATAGTAAAAAAGTATTGAAGCTTTAGGTCATATTACGAATTTTGCATGTTACAAATTCAATGCAGTGAAGGTTATATTACAAAGTCTCCATTTTAGTAAAAAAATCAATTTTTATGATTTAAAACAGATAATATTTGAATAAGTACATTGTTTCAACAGTATACCTTACTGGGCTGGAACCCACGAGAGTAATTTTTGTGAAACGACTAAAGTATGGCGAAGACGATTTTATTATATGAATCAATTCATTCCAAAGTGGCTCAAATACATATTTCCTTTTGTGAAAAACGAGGAGTGGGAAAAGGAAGAAATGGAGTTCAAACGGTTCAAAAAGTATTCAGAGTCTGCGTTTGGAAAACATTTTCGATATCCGAGTAAAGTTTTTAATGATTATAAATCTGAAGAAACTCAAGAAACAGCCGAAAAACGTGATGCGTCGTCTTCTGGTGTCGATAAATAAACAGTACAAGTTTAATTAACTCATAATTTTCTTTTCATTTGTTAACCTTTAAAAACAATGCCTTTCATACCCTTGTATTCGTCAAACAAACATTCACTTGTTCTTCTTTTATTATTTCAAAAAAATCATGAATTCTCTTCGAATTTTATATGCCATTAAATTTATTATTCTCCCGAAGCCTTACATTTGGAGCCGTCTTCCTTTTAAATATAATTTACTCTTGATTTTAAGTATCTACCTATTGTCCCATTCTCTGTTGTACCGATTGTCCTTATTTTGAACACAATGAGAAAAACAAAAAAGATTAATACTAGCACTATTTGAGCCCAGTTGGGAATCAACATAAACAATCCGCGACTTGTGGAAAGATTGATAGATTTAGGTAAAAATTAGAAAACCTCAAAACTGCTTAGGCATGTCGATAGTCACTGATACTGCTTATTGGATTAAGATTCAAAATTTGATCGAATTAAATAGACTGTTGTGTGATGTGGAAAATGTAAAGAAAAATAAAACTGCACGGCTGCTGCTGCTATGTAAACAGCTTTACATATTTTACTGAAACTCCAATTTCGTTTTTCGTATATTTTCAAAGTAGTGAAAGTTGTTAATACAGGAAGTGTTCGCAAAATCGTCCGGCGCACTGAAATAACATGAAACTTTGTAAGATTTTTCAAAATTAAAAGCTAAATGTCAAAAAATATCCTCATTTTGTCTAAAACATCCACAAAACAATATTCTAAGCTATCGTACACAGCAATTGATTCGTCTACTGTAATTGTGGACTAAATAAAGTTTTTAAGATAAACATTTATTACCTTAGAATTACATGCTGCACCTCTACACTAAAATGACACAAAACACAAAAACAATATTATAAAAAGTATTTTGGAGACTATTCAAATTATCTGATGGTAAAGACAAACACATTCTAAATAAATAAATCATTTTAATAAAAACGATGTATTGCTCACGCTCAGGAGGAAATATTTATTATTTTTTCACTTCATATAAATTAAAGATAAATTTTGTTTTGTGCAATTAATATAAAGTTCTTGATATTTCTATTAATCATATTGACTAGTGTGTGTGACCCTTTTACATTTTCGGTTATTAACTGAAATTAATAACATAATAAAATAAAATAATATTGAAACTTACTCGTGCTGTACATTTCTTCGAATGACACTAAAAATGACACCCAATTAGGCTATAAACTAGTGGCTATTCTCATTATATTTTAATTCTAATGGAAGCACGTAAATGTATTGCCCACTCATTGATGAGTGGCCAGTCGTTCACGAGCATCAGCAGTACAAGAAGCATAGCTAAGGCGATGCCTACCGATGAGATCACTTAATAAAATTAGTTGTTTCAATCAAACTTCAAACTACTTTTAAGATGAATATGTTATCTCCTCGCGTCGTTTCCTCACTGCTGAGGGTCGTGACCATTATATGTCGACAGGATTTTGCTCCTTGTAATGTCCCGCCAGCGCCTCCGATCATTGGATATGTTATAGCGCTCAGGAAATACCTTACAGAAATATTCGCCCAGAAAATAATGCTGTGTGCGTTTACGTTGTAGATGTCTATGGGCTCCAGGAACCACTTAACATCAGGTGGGCTGTGAGCTCGACCATCCATCTAAGCAATAAAAAAAAAGATCTTTGGAAGCGGAATGTTTAAACGCGTTATTTCCAGCGATTGGGGATAGTGCAATGGTAGAGAGGAAATGATGGGATCATTTTGATCTCTACCTCAGAATAATAGAATACACGGCATAAAATATTGCATCAAAATTTCTCGTTCACGACAACTTCAAATTTCTGATTTCAAGTCGTCGTTGCCTGCCTCTTAAGACGTCCAGTGTATTCGTATCGAGCGATGCAATTGTGCCGTTGTTTGAATCCCGCAGGCAGGTACCAATTTTTCTAATGAATAAGTACTTTACAAATGTTCACGAATGACTTCCACGGTGATCGTGTAATAAGAATCAAAACCGCAAAAAATATTATTTGCGTAATTCCTAGTGGTAGGGTTTCTTGTGAGCCTATAAAGGGAGGCACCACCCTGGCTATTTCTGCGGTAAAGCACTAATGCCTTTCGGTTTGAAGTGTGGGTCAGCCGTTGTACTGTAAGAAGACTAAGGCTTACAACGCATGTCTTAAAGTGGCTGACGGTATTTACATTTTTGACATCTATGGGCTCCGGTAACCACTTATCACTAGGTGTTCCGTGTGCTCTTTCACCTATTCAGCAATTAAAAAATCCCCATTAATAAAAAAAGTTAATTTTCCCATAAATTTTCTCTTGCTTCTGAAACACACTTCAGACCGAACACCTCAAACAAAAAATTATGTATTAAAATTATGTATTACCAAAAACTATGTTATTTGACTTGGGAAAGGCTCTTAGCTAATATTTCACTGTCATTTTTTTACATTTCATTAGGTTTCATCTATTAACTATTACTGTACTATTCTATTACTGTTTTACAAAAACAATATAGTTAAAATAAATTTGTTTACCTCTGCATGACACCCAGTCCCATCACACTAAAATTTACAATCCGGTAAATATTTTTTATAAACGATATTGAATATTTAAATGATAAATAAGTCAAATTCTCACGAGCCCTCTGCCGTTAAGGGAGCTCATAGACTTAATGTGAATAATAATGCACATTTGTAAATATTTTTTATTTTACAAAATTTGACACGTCTGTTTTTGTAGAAGGCTTCTATGGTTATTTATATGATTGTGGTCATGAATAAATTCGAAATTAATAAACTTAACATCAGATCGATACCAAGATCATTGATTAGCTCATCTATTTGACTAAAAAGAAATAATATAAAGAGGATTTTAAAATATTGCAACATCTATCTAAAATTCAAAATAACGAAACTCAAGATTACTTACCAATGCTGTACAGCGTTCCCCGGTACACTATTAGGTATTTATTTTCATTATTATTCTGTTTACGCTTCGACGTTTATTATGCGATATCCACAGAATGAGATTCATATTTCTTACTTCTAGTTCATACTTCTATGATATCGATTCACCACTTCCAGTCGTGATGTAAGTTTTACTATTGTATGTAGCATTTTTAGGATTCGAATAATATTGTTTACTTCATTATCCCTAGGACTTGTGTTATGTGAGAAAATTTTTTTGTAGAAACTATCTATGCGTCCCTTTAAATACGCACAATAGCAATACTTTACGATTTAAATTAGGTTCCGATCCCACATATCAAATCTACAGCCCTAATATGTGTGTCCAGGAATTAAAAACCCGGATTAAAATAATGTAAAGTTTGTACCAAACTCGATATTACCTGCAAATTGCAAATCTTGCCTACAATATTGTGTATAATTTTAGTTTCATCTCAGGGTGTTTGGGCGTTGCACCATTTTTAAAATATCTTTTCCCAATAATTTATTTAAAATTTCATAAAAAACTGACTAAGGGCTCAATCTCGATTGCCCATTTTTTGTCAAATTTATATGACTGTAATTTTCTGTATATCTGTATATAAAAGTCAAGAAAGCTAAAGTAAATACCATTTTAGCAACGTTCACAACATTGCTAAAATGTTGAAATTCAATGTAAAGGAAATGAAATAACTGTAAAACTAAAATTACATTAGAATACAAATAAACCTATAGAATTTAACCTACGGAAAAATGCCAAAACGCCACAAAACCACTTTTATCTTCCCTTAAAAATATTAGCCTATATATTTATTAACTTACATAGACAATCTTTTTCAAACAATAATTGATTATTATATGTTTCAAAATTCTTTTGTGTCACGTTCTGTCTTATTATTGAAGGGCACACATTTCATTTTTAACCGTTACAAATAATTGCCGACTTGCTTAATCGTAAAACGAAAAAAATAAAAAAAAATATAGACGGTATGTATCAGAAATCAAAAACTCACGTTTGAAAAACATTTGTGTCCTAAGCACTGTAAAAAAGATAATTTGCTAGGTGGTTGTTGTTGAGATTATACATGCATATATATTAGTCTCTTCGTCATATCAATACGAGTCTAATATCATTTAAACACCAAGACTGTAAGAAACATATATTGGGATTATGTACACAGAAGTAGAAACGCGAGAAGATGAATAGAAAAAGAATATGAAAATTATTAAAAATATAGAAAATACAATAGGCTGAAAATTGTACCAAAAACTGCCAAAAGAAAACAAAATACTAAATAATATAATTGCTATCTATTTACCTAGAGAAGAATAACAACTGTATACAAAAAAGAAACCATAGCGTAGCGTTATACATCTACATATTATTAGCGCCATTGCGGAACAGCAAGAAAAAGATTTACGAGAGCGAATTGAAAATTGACTATTAAAAAAAAGTGCTGTGAAGAGGATTATTAATTGGTTAATGTATTATTGTATAGCATCATAAATCGTGGCCACGCTTAACATTATAGATCTAGAACTGGTATCTATGATAATATTGTGCTACATTAAAACAACTATTCCGTATTAGTTTAATCATTTATTTCTTAAAATCCCACATTTTATTTTCCATGGCTTTTCCTTTTCCTTCTTGCAAGTTAAAATAAAGTATATGTATATTTTAGTATATATGAAAAAAGTTTGATTTATATTTATTTCTAAACGATTTATTTAGAAAAGTAAAATATACACAATACAAAGCAGTTATTATATTTTGCTTAATTACTTTTTTCCAAAAATCCATTTTTTACCATTATTTATTTTATAGCCATTATTTCAATACATAAGGAGGTAGGAACATATTTTTATTTACATAATTAAGTTATTAGTTGCGTCGTATTCTTTGAATATTGTGAATGTGTGAATGTCATTTCTTGATTTTCGGCCAAAAATGCAATCTGACAATTCAGAAAATTATTCAGCTTTAGTTTTTTGAAAATGAAACTACACATATCCACAACTTGACTTTCGGAAGTCACCTGTTCGACTGTCTCAACTG